GGGCATGGGTGTCGTTTCTCTCCCCTCCTTTAACACATCCTCTGTCTACCAGCTTATCGGAGTCGAAAAGAAAAAGAAACGCTCCCTGGCCAGTCATATACCCTGGCAAGTTTTTGTATTTTTTCACTATCCACTCGTTCATTTCTAGACTGAAACTGTCACGGAACTTGCAGCCCCGCAGAGTGATCGTCTTGTTTCCCTTGGCAACAAACACAAAGGCATTAGTTGGTCGACCTGCAAAGGTTGCATTTTCTATTTCAACGTTTACTTTCGAAGTTGTCTGTTTGTCTAGAAGGGGGATGATGATGCGAATACCAAATGTGGCGTTCTTCCGGTTTTTTTCTTGTATTTCTTTGCCGTCAAAAACTGTGTTGGTTACTCGAATATCAACGCGGACGCTATTGTTTAGCAAACCGTACACGTCCATGAAGTTATTTCGAAAGGTACAGTTGTGAATGTTTGCAAATAAATAAAGTTTGCTGTCGTTCATAACAACCGCGTCATACGCGACCATCCGGACTCCATATAACGAGGACCTCACAGTTACTCCTTCAAGCCAAACATTGAAATTCGGTGTTAAGCTAACTGCAACTTCGGAGCTTTGAACAAACGATGTGTTGAAGATGTTAATTGTTCCAGACTGAGTTGTAGTTCCCGTCACTTGCAATGTAGTGGCCAGTACTGTTCGATTCGTTTTATTGTCGTAGAAACGGGACCCATTAACTTTTAAGTCGATTGTTCTATTTTCGTTTGTAAAGCTACGAACTGTGATACATCTTACTGCAAAGTTATTTACACACTGCAAACCAACAAAAGCGACTGTGGCCATCCTCACTTTGGAATAGTAAAGGCTGCGGGAAGTCATAAAATGATTGCGTTCAAGATTAATGTTATGGTACGCTTCTTTTGTAACAGCAGCGGGCAATTCAACATCCAAGAAATGACCTCTGCCCCCAAGGCAATGAACCTCATTCATCTTTATTTGCAGATAAATAGTTTGAGAGAATTTGTTCGGTGTTTTATTCGTTGAAAAAATTATAGCACCCCTTTCATGAGACTGTGTGTGAAAGCCATTTTCCAAAAACTTTGTGTTGGTCACGTTCAATGAAAACAGTCTGTCTTTCTTGAGAGATCGTTGTTCAAAGTGGATTCTAACACACAAGGAGTTGTTTTGAAAGACAGAGTCTCGAATAGTTACATTTACGTTGGAACTTTTTTGCAGACGAATAACAACAGCTGATTCCCTTGTGGTTTTGTCGCTGTGCCTTTCTCGAACAGTACAGTTGATGATCTTCACGCAGCTACAGTCAGTAAAGTTTAAAGTCGTCTTAGAGAACGATAAACGGCTTAACGATATACTCAAAAACTTGTTTGATCCATGAAAATGAAACACTTTAGGACAAGTAATGTGGGCTTCTGTTGAAGGTGAGCTGGTCATTGTGACGCTTCTTGTTACCCAGATTCCCTGATGATGCGCCTGCGTGGTTAACTGCTCGCAGTCATATGGTTGCTTTGCTGTACCACTGCCGTCCAACTGGATAACCATCCCGTCCCGAGAAACGCGGGTAACAGCCTTTGCTATTGTGCGACAAGGCTTTTTCTCGGAGCCACAACGTTTGGTGTCGTTTCCGCGTAAAGAAACGTGGACAGTGCTCTGGTACTCGAGGCATCCTATTAAATGCAAAGACAGTCAAATGTGTAGCCACAGGTAGCCCAAGCTCAAAATATGAGCATCGGCCTTGTTGCTTAACATTCAAAATACAAGGATTTGAATGGGAAAAAAAGCCTATCGTTTCTGTAACCTACGAAAATGAAAGGATTTGAATAAAAACAGCTTACCTTCCTTAAAATGTGTGTTAAGTCTCTCCTGTGTGGTCCACGGGCCGATTTATGGCCGTTTTATGGGAGAAAACCGTTAATACATAAAAACCCATAAAACGGCCATAAATCGGCCCGTGGACCACACAGGAGAGGCGTAACACACATTTTAAGTAAGGTAAGCTGTTTTTTTATTGAAATCCTTTCATTTTCGTAGGTTACAGAAACGACAGGGTTTTTCCCATACAAATCCTCATATTTTGAACATTACGCAACAATGCCGATGCTCGCCGATGCTCATATTTCCAGCTTGGGCTACCTGTGGTGTAGCCTGAGAAAACAGCTGACATTTCGTGACGCCACCACCGGTTTTCGCGCGAAATGATGTTTAAGGAACGAGCGCAGAATTCCATACTGATGACGTGTCACTTCCCAGATCTGGGTAGTGCTTCTGGCTGGTTAAAAATTTGCTTCATCCGATCAGAAGCGCACTTCCCAGATCTAAGAAGTGACGCGTCATCAGTGTCAAAATCCAAATCTCGGGTTTCACAGGACGTCATCACAATTCAAACTTAGGGAATTAAGGATTCTTTTGATTTTCTACTTTTATAAGGTATTACAGCAGCTAAACACCCTTCTACATACAAATTTTCGATTCTAAAATGTTCCTCGTTTTGCGATTGAGGACACAATTTCCATGCTTTTGAGTGAAGCGGCATTTAGCTAGCGGCCGGGAATGTTACTGTGTGGGTTAAAAACGTTACCGATTTTTGGAAATTTTGGTATCTAACATTCCTTGTCTCAGAATGAATATCACTTTAATCTTTATGAGTTCCTCAAGTGATGAATTCACACATTTGTACGAAAACTCAAAGAAAGATATTTCTGCTGGTTTCCGGTGGCCATACTGTGTGATCCTCAAAGAGACACAAACATGGCGTCTCCGGACATACAAAGCGTTACACATTTGGGTGAAACTGGACATTTTTCCAAATATCTCGCATTTGAAACATCGTACAGGCCTGATTCTTGACGAGGCTTTTCGTGTATTCATCTTCTCTCATTTCCCAGCTTCTGGACTTTCTGTATTGAATGGTTTACTTTTTATTTTTGAGAGCGTGACAGTGAAAACAGAGAATACCACCTCAGTTAATTATTTGCCTTCGAGATTTGACAATATAAAATTTTCGGTTTTGTTTAATTTGAGTTTAACTACCACTAGAAGTATGAAGGGTAAGTCCCTCAAGAGAAGAATTAAGAAAAAATGTAATTTTCTTTCCTTTTCTTTTATAATTCGAAAAAGAAACCTAGCATTAATGTCCCTCTAAACAACAAATGAATGAAAGGGATGTCTTTTAATCTATGATGGAAGAGTGCAGCGCCAAAAAGTCTGGCTTTATTAATAGTGAGTTAATAAAGAGCTTTAGAGTCTAAGACAAAGACGACTACGAGAACAAGATTTTCTCAATACTAAGTAGTGCACAAGGCGTTTTTGGAGCGAAGCATATCAACCGGAAGTGAGTGAGGCCTTTTCCCTTTCAAAACCGTAAAATTCCGAGAATAAGCCCCTCCACGTATAAGCCCTTCCAAATATAAACCCCACAAACCGGTAACGCAAAAAACCCTCCGTTAAATCGCCCCTCCAGCTATAAGTCTCCCCCCCCCCCGGGGGCTTGTACTTGGAAAATTGCCCTCGAATGCAAAGTAAAACAAAGCAAAAATGGTAAATTAACTTCCAACTATAAGGCTAGCCCAATCGGTTTTGAAACGCAAATTTCCCTCCGTAGATAAACCCCTCCGAACATAAGCCCCTCCAAAAATAAGCCCCTCAAAAAAGGCCTTTGAAAAATATAAACACCGGGGCTTATTTTCGGAATTTTACGATATGCCTTGACGCTACCAAATCTGTATTGCTAAGATAGAGACCATTTGCCCAAACATTTGGACAAAAATGCAAAAAGTCCACCATCGGTCGGCATGCGTTGTTCAAAAATGCCTTTGCTTAAGCTCCGTCATTCTACGACAGGTTTTAGCGAAAATGTCGTAATGGCGGAAACAAGTTATTAAATGTCATGGAAATTTTATCACTTTGCGATCTTGAGAGGGCTTAACTTCCTTCAACAAGAATAACCTTGTTAACTTTTCTTGTAAAAAGAGTAAAATGAAGCTTCCTGGAATGTCTATTTTTTGAGGATATACGAAAAAAACTTTAAGTTAAATCTCGTCCTCGAGTCTAAAGGTCTCTATTAACTCATTAAATAAAACCAGACTTTTCAGTGTCCTTTAAACAGCACAGTTCAATTTACATTTATCCATACAATGGGTAGAATGTTAGTTTCCTCGCAAGAGTCTACTGCTGAAGGTTCGGATTCAAGCTGCCACAACTAAGACGAAAATTGTAATTATATCCGACTGCAAATAATTGTGGTTTCGAAAAATATTTCGAAGTTGAGTGCCTCGATGGTTTACTTCCAGAGCTCAAATCGTGCCAACATAGTTATCATTCTACACATAGTGCGAGCAATGAAATTGAACTGCGCTATCTGGTTTTGAAAAAAAAAAACACACACACACACACAAAAACAAATGGGTTTGATTTGAACGAGTGAGTATAAAGTGGCCACCGCAAGGAGATTCGAAAGCAGAGGTCAGAGCGGATTCGCCCTGACAAAGGGCTAGCGACGTTAGAATGTGCTTAAGCTATGCTGAGATACGTTCAACTGCTGACTAACCTGTTTTTACGCTCAACAGAAGGAGAAGATTAGATACGAAGACAAACCAACAAGCCGCCATGCACTAACTTTACCCGAGGTGGCGAAAAGTTGCTTTCTAGGCTGCTGTTGTTTAAGTGACTAATAACTGAAAACGATTAGTCTCCTTATAATGGCTCGAAAACTCGAAAATGAAAGCAATTCGTCTACGCCAAGTACACATGAACTAAAATTACCATAAGGATATTTCAGTTTGAAACTGGGTTAGCGGGCTTACTACTTAATACTTAATCATGCAGTGTCGTGGTTGACAACTTGACTTTGACGGTACGTTATTGGTTAATAAACAAACACATAAACAAGTAAACAAAGTAAAGGAAAAGATGCTGAAAAATTCTGTTTTATCTGGGGGCCGTACAGGACAATGGCCGAGCCAAGCATTTTACCTTGGTTTTAATAAGAGTTTAAGTCCCCATTACAGACTTTTTTTTAGTCGAGAGCGAAAAAGTTAAAATTGGAAATAATACAGACAAAAAAATAGTATAAACGGCAAATTACAATCTAGTTTAAGAGGCGAAAGCACTCTTTGTTGTTGGTTCTATTCCTGTTTTCTCGGTTTTTTCCCTCTACAACGACGTTTTCAAACTCCATAACTAGAGCGTACTGACGACTGATAAATAAACTAAATTTTTCATTCACTAAAAGATCGCGACGTTTCGACTACGGTATGTACTTAGCTCAACTTACTTCTAAGTGGGCATTTCACCAGATCTTAAAACATTCTACGCCCTCAAGAGAGAATAGATTATTTACCTTGTTCTAAGCGTTCAGACAGCGGCGTAGCAGCGCAAAGTTAAGCGGCGCGATGAAAAAAAATAGTCATCTTTTTCTTCGCATTACGCGACTCTAACGCTGCGAAAGCAGATGTATTTCCGGTCGTCAACCACCGGAAATACGTCTGCGTTGGTACGCTATTCGACTCTCCCACCACCTGAACGCCTGGTCATGGAACAGGCTGTTATCAAAGATCTAGATCTCTTCTCCTTTTAAGTGTGACCATTTCTTTGATTAACACTTAGCTGGAGTTCCATCGTGACACTCTACATCAGACCTTATTACCCTACTTTCCTGTAACAGGAAGGACCATTGGCGTTGAGGGTTCCATTTCTATCCTCCGCACAGGCTTCTTTCTGTCGTAGCCTTCGTAGGGAGGTTGGGGAGAGGAAACAAAAAGTGCGCAAGGTTTGATGGGAAGAGAAAAAAGACGGACCCCGCCCTTATTGTTTTTCAATTGTTTCTATTCTCGCTGCAATACGCAGCGGGAGTCTCTTTGGAGGAGAGAGGCTTTCCATTGTATCCATCACTTAGATGAACTGTCGCTGCTCACGGGGTACCCATTGTAGCAAGGAGGCTGTGACCTTTCAATGAAGGCAAATTCAAATTCCATAATCCGCTTTATCTTCCCAGATTAAGCTTAAACTTCAGAATCTTTGGCACATTTCTGATAGTGAGCGAAATCCTTGTCTTTCGAAGCAATATGTCACCTACCGAAGGGTGACAAGTGTCCAGATTTGCCACGCGATCAGTCACTTCATCACTAGTCCTCTCGGCGATACCGTGCAAGAAATTATGATAAAGATCTTCTGTTAAGAGGAACAAACTTCTGGGTTCCAGTAGCACAGACATGAAATAACGATCCTCCAAACTCAACGCTGACTCTTCCGAATTGTCCTGAAGGTAGAAATAAGTTTTAGAGATTTCAGCATAAAATCAGTCTAAAAGTTAGTCATGAACTGCAAGTCTATGTTTGATATCGTTACCAAAATGTCTGATAAATTGTGGTAATTCAAATGAACCTTCTGAGCTGCTACTTTCTAACGGGGTCGAGAACTCTGCCTGACAATCTTTTCGCCGTTTTTCAGGGTTCTCCAGAAAATTTAAAGAAGAAGGAGAAAACATTAGGTTGGCGGCAATAGATTAGCTCGAAAGGTGTTCGTATGCGGGGGAAGGTATGGAGAGAGGAATCTCCATTTCATTGGATGAGTGAGGGGACCTCCTGAGGGAAAATGTTCACCTTTGGGGCTCTAAAAAGTGCCTTTCACTGCATCTTGAGCCGAGAAAGATGTTTAGCCATAAGGGAGACACCTTTATTTACACACTTGCTTTATTTTATACAATGTCTGTTTTTCATCTATTAAAGAGTTGCGAAATAAATACGACAGATTTTTTTCCTCCTTAAAAATTGTTTTATTTTGCTTTGTTTTTTTTTTTATGGTGTGTCTGAGCAGCTTGCACTTTTATGATGACTAGAGGACGCCCGACTATGAACAACAACTGCTCGTGACAACCACAGTTTTTCACTCAGTGATTTTGTCGTCCAAAAACCATGTTAATGACCATGTTAATACGAATGCCTCCTCAAAAATAAACAACCACAATTTTCATTTGAGTGTCTTTTTTTTTTTTGGAGGGGGGGAACTTAAAGGAAACCTGGATGGGGCGGATGGGATGGCGGCACTGTTTACCACCGTTTTCGTTGATATGCGACTTACGAAAACAAAACACCCGCGGAAACGTTTCCAAAATTGCCATCAATCATGCATGTTATCGACAGATCGGATCAAAATCCACCAATCACAGCCCGCTAGCATGACGTAAAGAAGGTCAGAAGGTCACACTAGTGGTTGTGATTGGTGGATTTCGATCCGATCTGTCGATAACATGCATGATTGACGGAAATTTTGGAAACGTTTCCTCGGGTGTTTTGTTTTCGAAAGTCGCGTATCAACGAAAACGGTGGTAAAGAAAGTCTTTGCATTTGTGCAGCCAGTTGTTGGTTTTCACATGATGTCACTAAAATTCAAACTAAAAAACTATCGATCCTACCGAGATTTTACTTTCACGATGCATTAGTGCACCTGAAAACTAATTTTCGCTTCAAAAGGGTTCTTGGTTTTGTGATAGAGTACGCTTGAATTTCTTAGCTTTTGCGTGACGCGGCATTTACATGACGGCCAAGAAAGCTGTCATGTAGGTTAAAAAAATGACTTATTTCAGGAAATTTTGCTATCCAAACAGTTCATGAATCTGAAAAAGTATTAGTTTAGTGTTTATGAGTTTCTCGAAGAATAAATTCACGCTTTTGTAGCAAAACTCGGTAACAGATGTTTCTGTTGGTTTCCGTCCGCCATGCTGGAGCTCATCCAGGAGAGCACCAGCATGGCGTCTCCATACAAATCTCCATGAAATCTCTGTAAGTTTGGGTAAAACATTTCTTCGGATATATCGTATACGAAATATTTCTCTGACCTGAATGTTGGCGAGGGTCTTTGTATATGTACCTCCTTTCATTTCCCACATTCTTGACTTTATCTATTGAACGGTTTTGATTCTTATTTTGATCTATTTTGAATAGCGTGACACTGAAAACCAGCAATTGAGATAACACGCCATATTTTGTAAACCTTGTTTAAGACTGAGGACAACACACATAAATTCCAGTCAGATACCCTTTCTAACCCTTTAAACCCTAAGATCACAATCTGAATTCTCATTTATTGTCCCTATTCATTTACCATTGAAGTAGTGGGTAGAAGTTGACGAAATATCAAGCAAATTTATCTTGTGTGATCATGTTCGCAATAACCTGAGTATCAGGCCTTCCTAAGGGGTTAGGAGAGAGGAGATTTTAGATGGGGGAGGGGGGGAAGGGGAAGAAGCAATTTACAATTTCCGGGCACACGTTTATTTACAAACAGAGCGTTGGCGATCTTACACTAGCACAATTCCTAAAACATGTTATAATTCCTCAAAAACCGCAGGTTTTCCATTACAAGTATTCAAAAACTCCTCATTGGAGGTTTCAGAAAAAAAGCGAAATCGTAGCAACACAAGCACCCGGAGCTCAGCCAGACCGTAAAGCTGACAACCCAATGGCCGGAAGTGATTTTGATTGGATGGTATCGAATCATGCTGTGTGGGGATAGCCTGCGAAGCGCAGACGTATTTCCGGTCGTCGCTTCTCTCCCTCCGAAAATTAAAAGCATCTGCGTAAGGTGTTTCTCTCCTTCAGCTCTCTCCCTTTTTCGCTTCCATCTTTCCCCTTTCCCCCAGAAACGCCTGATACTAAGGCTATGTTCGCAATTCTCATGACCACTCTGTTTTACAAAGCATTGATATTACAAGGAGGCTTAAAGGGTTAATGAGCAAAACAACAACTTTGCACAAGCACCATGCTTTTTTTTATAAATTTCTTTGGCCACCGTTGCCAAACTACAACGTGAAATGACTGAATACTAAGTTTACAACTGCTTTCTGCTTGAGAATGGGAACAGCAACTTCGGTAAATTTACTACAATCTCTGTCTGAGCTCGGTCATGGTCCCCTCTCTTCAGCCCCAACCTACTTTCCCTTTTAAGCAACTGGGCAACTTGGAATAATCATGAAAAGGTTTGGAAAGGATGCAAAGCCTAATTTTCAGCCACATTTTCATTGGCGTCACCGTTGTCCAGGCAACTTTTCATGATTTTGTCTGCCTTACTAAGCGACAAGTCGTGGCCAATTCACCAATGGAGGTGTGACGAAATTGTTAGCGTCTTACTTCATGGAGATGATTTGATCATTGAAAACTCCGTCTAACAGCAAACAATGGTATGCCGAGTTGTTTGTCCACACAGCTTCGAACAGTCACCCCTCCAAACATCCCCGTCTTTTTAATAAAGGAGACTACCCCGGGACTCTGGAACTGACCAAATTTTCTGCGTACCTCTCCTCTATACCAATAACTTCTTTCGCCCCACGCCAGCGCTCACTCTCAAATTAAAACTTCTAGTTATACATTACTGTAAATTATTTTGATTTTCCTTGCTTTTTGCTTTTTATATTGTATTTTTTTCTTTCGTTTAAACATAACAGAATAGATTAACCATGATTACTATGTAAATATTTTTCGTGTGTTGAATTTTTATGTCCTTTTTTGTCTTCAACGCAAATGTCCGCCCTATCGTGGAGCCAAATTGACAAGTATGACAGAATGACTAGCAAGAATGTAGAATAATTGAAATGATGGCGGGAAGTACGAAGGATGGCCGTTGTCGAAAACTCCCCAATCGTTTTCAGAATCCTCATTTGCTTCGCTACACTCTTCTTACTGTCAAATACACCGTTTATTCCACAAAAGGCAAAACAATGACCAGAATCAGAAGCAAAGGCTTTGACGTCAAATTACGTCATGAGACTTTCTTTCACTAGTTCCGAGTCTCTAGGACATTTCTTAAGGGGAAAAAGCAGTTCTTGGACGGCCACAATTCATGAAATTATATGGAAGACGCATTTACAAAGTTTAGAACTGTTAATCAAACTTATCTTAGAACTAAAATGAAACTAAAATGTTTCATGTTATATACAGAGTAAGATTAAAAGGTGGCAAAACGCTACGACTGCAGGAAAACATTAACAAAGGTGATCACCTGTTACTTTGTTTGTTATTTCCCCAGAAAGTTTATTCAGTGAGACACAACGCTTTTAAAATTGAAAACTGAAGAATGGACTCTTTTTAGACATTCCCTGCAGAAACGAGGTAGAAGGGAGGTCCGGTAGTTTCCCAGAATTTTTATATAATTTATTTTTATAATTTACGCTTTCAATGGAAATAAAAAACCACGTATGACCCCACTGAAAAAGTACCCACAAACGCTACGTGACTAAAACAGCTGTGAAAGTACTGCCAGATAACATAAAACAAAATTAAACCAGTAACAAAAATAGATTCATCACGGTTTTGTGCAACAAACAGTTATGCATATCTGGCTTTCTATTTTGGCGGCAGGAAACTAAGTTACAATGAAAACTCCTCGAGGTGAACATACAATAGAAAATGTAAGTTATGCAGTAGAAATTGCCAACCGCAGCCTGTGTTCACATCACTGGCTGTAGATGCATTCTTGTGGGAGCAGCATACAAGTAACAGTATGTAGCTCCAGTTTGAGCTTAGAAGAGACTTGCTAACATTACGATCGGTAAGTTCCAATTCTGTTACCGTCTTTATTGATTTCAGTGCATTTTCTATCTTCACTTGGTGAGGAAATAATACCAATCTTGTTTTGTCTTTTTTCCGCCTCAGCGTTCCCCTCATTTGTGGCAGTGACGAGTTTAAAAGACGGGGTCTTTTAGAAATTTGCGCATTAAGAACGACTTTTTCACACTTGCAACTAAGGTCAGTGGAGTAAAAATAAAATGGTTATGAACATTTGAAAATAATTGGATCTTTGCACATTTAGCTAGTTAGCTAATAATTTGTTTCTTATCACACAGTACGTTTTTTGCTGACCGCAAAGTGCAGAGTTGATCAGGCATAACCAACGCGTGCTTCACTTTTATTGACAAGAAAGGTACAGTAGGCACTTGTTTTTTGACAACCCCATTTAAATTAACCAAAATTGCAATACTCGTGATAATCAAACCTAAAATCTGGGTAAATAATACTTATGAAAATATTCGTAGTACAAAAATGGGGTTTAAGGTGGCTTGAGTGGATTTTCACAGTTTTCAATTGGTGGCAGTGCCTCACAAAGTCTGAGAATTAGCGGCATCGCCGTTCAGAAAAAATCTGGCCAACTGGGTCCACAGCTGTATTAGAGAAAGATGACTTTGATTTGTTATGACCAGTGTTTGATTTACATCATAGTTGTCATAAAAACATAATGGTATTATGATCTATTTTAGTGCGGTCGTATTTCTTGGAATCGGACACGAAAGCTTGTCCCCGTAGAAGCCGCATCGATGTTCCTCAAGTTTGACCAAATTTTTTGCAAGCGATATCGGGATATTTTAAGATGAATTTTTAACGGTTAGAAATATAACAGTAAAAACTGAGAAGTTTTGTGAAGAAAACGAAGTGCTTTCATTCTACCTAAAAACGAGTGTGATCATAATAGAGATCATAATATTATGCTCTCTAAGTGGGGCCTAAAAAAACTTCAGAAAAACCGATTGACCAAAAGACGGTAACGGTAAATTTTTCACGACGAATTGCTCTGTGACAGAATGGGCGACTTCTGGTGTTTGCATTTCTAGATTTTTCTCCGTTTCCAAAAATAAGCGTTTACACGTTGCGTTTTTGAAACCAAACCTTAGGCAGTTCTAGTTCTTTCTGACCAAATATTGACTAGCCTGTCTACAGCCGCCCCCTCCCCACCCCTCAGAAAAAGTCGTAGAAGAAGCCTGACCAGAAAACGGCTTGACTAACTTTAAATGGCGTTTCGCGACAATATGTGCAGGGCACATTGGTTAAATTGACTAAAATTATGATATTCGAAGAAGTCGAGGAAGCCTAAAGGAAAAACCATTAACCAGAATTTGTTTTAGAAATTCATTTTTATTTCTGATTTTACTTGCAGATGGAACCTTCTTCGCAACTTTTGTCCAACCCGAATTCCATTGATAATCAGTCCTCCGTTATCAACAGCACAGCTGTAGCTATTACTTCTTTAGTTTACGTGTTCGCGCCAGCAGATTTCAGCATAAAACTCGTTTTTGTTGTACTGTTTGCAATTTTTGGAGTCATCGGATTGGTGGGCAACATCCTAATTCTGTATTTTCTTTCCAAGAAAAAGTCAGTTCCTTTCCTGCAGTTTTCTCCTTTCCTAAGAAACTTCAATCTGTACATGAGGAGTTAAGCTCTTTCAGAGATACTCTCTTCTTTAATTAGAGGTGTTTTAGTTTGTATAGAACTAATGTATGATGTATTTCAAAATGGCTGGCCTTGTAAAATAAGTCGATGTATTAGTGGTATGTTTTACTATATAACAGCAAACAATTTAATTTTTATAAGCACCGAGAGGTTTCTTTCAACCCGTGATGTTCCTAAAACGTTCAGTGGTTCCACTGTCCGTAAATTAGTGTATGCAGCGTGGCTTTCAGGGTTTTTAATGGGGTTGTTTCCAGCAGCAACAGTAAATGGTGTAAGATACGACATTAATGCTACACATTACACAATGGTCTGTAAACCCGATACCAGTTATCTACCTACCAGAGTAATTATAGTAGGCTTTGCACTGATACAGCACGTCATACCAAGCATTGCTTTGATTTGTATGAACATCATCATAGCCAGAACGGTATGGAAAGGAAGCAAAAAAAGGGTCGATATACAACGAGATAACGCCATTAGGGTGAAGATGAGGTCACAAATAATCAAAAAAACTAGTTTACTTGTTACTGTTACCATAGCCTTCGTTATTCCTTATTCATCAATATTGTATTACGCAGCCTTTGTTGCGGTAGCTAAACCTTCGCTAGATTTCCAGGAAGATTTTGTGATAACACATTTTTGTTTTCTGCTAGTTTTTTTTAGCACTGCTATAAACTTCTTCGTATATCTGGTTCAGATGAAGGATTTCCGTGTATTTTTACTAAAACATTTTTGCGGGAAAGGTGTTGATAATGCTCAAATTAATCCTAATGTAGAATAATAGGTGGGGAGCACATTCAGATAAGGGAGGGGGGGACGGTCATCCAGATCCTCAGATAAGGCGGGAGGGGGGCAGGCCTTGAAAAAAATTTTTTTCCGCCCTTCATTTTGGTCTAAAAATAAGCGAAGGGGGGGTGGCGGGCCTCCCGGGCTTCTCCCCTGGATCCGCCACTGTTGTCACGGTTTTTTCTACCAAATTGAGTGAAACACAAAAACCTTCACTCCTTATATCACAAGAACGTATAGCAAATACAAAAGTATGCACAGATAGATAAACTTGAAGTAGTTTAAAACGGATTGAAATTGTAGGTTTTGAAAAACTTGTTAGCCTACAGTTTTAGCCTACAAGTTCAATTTTGTTGTTGGTAACGTTTGATATAATGCTTGGGAAGTAAAATTTGTTTGTCAAGAAGCTGTGATTTTGTCGTTTACAAGTAATTTTTTCGTTAACGCTAAGTTTCGTTGCAAATAAGGAGGGGCAAATGGCAATAATAACAAAATGAACTAGACAACGGTGACACTGCAGCCGCTTTAAGTATTGATAAGTGTTTCCTTAAGGCCCCACGAAAAATCAGAGGTAAAGCATCACGTTAACGTCAATTTGTACCACGTGACCAAGTATACCCATTACTTATCAGTTACTGTTCCGATGATTTCTACCCATAAATTAGTTGTTTCACGTAATTTTTTATCCATAAGATTTGTTTTTATCCGATTATTTTTTATATGTTGAGAAATTCTTAACTTAAATCTAACGTTTGCCGTATACGTGAAGCTTAAACTTCTTCCAGGAAAAGTCATTATTCTATGTTGATTTTCCTTTTTATCAATACTACTTTTTCTCGCGGTAGTATGTGCTTTCACAACCTACAAAAAATATCTACTGTATTACTTTCTCCCCACTGTTCGCGTGAGAACATACGATTTTCAATACAATTTTGTTTTTATAGCAAACAAGACGCTGTGGAGCGTACATTTGGGCGTCGATGCACTAGGCGTGTGTGAAGTTTTTTACGTATATTAGGAATGTGCGAGTAGTGCAGTAGCGTTGCATATTTTAAGGGTTCGTTAAGATAAGTGAAGTGGAAGGCGTTTAGTTATATTGTACGTGAATCGGTAAGATAATGGCTGTAGTTTGTTAATCCGTGAAACTTGTTTCTCGTAGAATTTAATATGAAGTAACAAAAAATTATTTTAAGAGGTAAAAGTGATTTTAAGTTTGCAGTGAGGTAGTTGTGGAAGTGCTATTCTTGTTATGAAGAAGAGTGTTGTTACAGTGTGTTGAAATGAAGAGGTACTTATGTAAAATTTTTTAACAATAGTCGAAAACATACTTGCACTTATTTTTAACGTTGTTAGGCTTTCTGTTTTGAAAAAAAAAAAAAACGTTCATTTAATATACAGAGGGGGTATGAAGATGTTGAAGAGGGGGGTTGAAATTTTGTGCGTGTGCTCGCACTCGGGGGCTTTGAAAAATAGGTGAGGTCAAGGGGAGGGCGTAAACGCTGGCTATAGAACTAAGGGCCTGATTACATGAGCCGTGCCGGCTTGCTTTGCAGAAAACCCGTCACCTTAGTTAAACGCAACAAAAATCAACTTTGCGAATACATGACAACCGAGCCAGCCCGGTTAGCTGGGATCCCAGTTTTGTGATGCCGGGATCCCGGGTGGAAATTTTCCAAGTAATTACGCTTGCTGGGCGGCCCGGCGAATGAACCAAGCGAAAAACAGGACAGCGGGTCACACTCTGTTCATGCGCATTGCTTCCCCGGCTCATGTGATCAGACCCTTATTACTGTGAGTTGTATTGTCACGCAGCTTACACGTGAAAGCTTTGGAATTTACCGCCTTCGTGGTTCGTGTTGGTACGTGTACGAGAGAATACGACTTAATCTAATTAACCCAAAGGTTTTAAAAATAGAACGCGGCTTACACTTTATTAAGATGTTGGACTCTGCCTCTTTTACGGTTTCTACGGTGAAAGAATGCAACTTGTTTACGAGGTCATTTTGCTCAATAAGATTTTAAGAAATTACCTCCTTTCCGAAAATATGCAATGAAATTATGCATCATTAAGTGTTACCCTTGATTGTCTCATGCACGAGATCCTGGAATTTTGCGTGGCATATTCTTTGGCGCTCAATAACTGAGAGCAAAAATATTGTCAAACTCTTGGCAATAAGCCAAACCATTCACACCGTGTGCTGTGAGGACGATCATTTTCCAAAGGGAAAATTTAAATTATTTAATAGTTTGTTTCACTCAGTGTAACTTGTTTTTCCAAAAAGTTTGTTTTCTATTGCCGATTTGTTTGCCGTGCGTTATCTGTGGGACGTATGTACCGATGATAAATGTTGTGTTGTGACACAGCGCGTGGCAGACATTTGCTCGCTTGGCTTGTTTACTTAGCTCGTTTACTTTCGCACGTATTAAGTGCCTATTGCAACTTTGAATCAAAACAAGCGAACTCGATTACTCTATTTGGGCGACGCCCGAATAATAATATGGTAGTAAAATCCCGTATTCTTGTTTGCTAGTAGAGCGGTCCTATGAATCGGGCGATATTTTTTTTTCCATTTATTGCTGGTTTTTCTGCAATAGCCTTGGTCATGCGTTAAAGTTGTGCCATATAAATCGACCTCGTTTATCGATAAGAGGTCGCAATATTGTGTAAATAGTTATACAGTGATTATGATTGCCAATATATCAAACAAAGTATTAGGTGTTATTAAACGTTCCGCTGGAACTGGAAATGTAACTATATTTTCTATGGTGTACAAATCTCCCGCATGGTCAATCTTGGAATATGCAGCACCAGTCTGGAGCCCTTACCTGGCGATGGATATTTGTATAGAGAAGCGTCGATATCTGATCATAGAACTTATTTATCTTTGGTCGAATGTTACAAGGTGTCTTTTGTTAAAATTATCTTAAATTTTTTTTTAATTTCACTGCTAATAAATCTACAACAGCAAATCATTCTTATAAACTTTATGTCAAATCAGCAAGACTAAATTGTTATAAACATTCTTTTTTCACTAGAATAGCCAAGCTTTGGAACGATTTACCCAAAGACATAGTTGAAGCTGATAGTCTTCATTTATTTAAATCCAAGCGTAAAACGATATCTCAATGTTTAACTAACAATTACCTTTTTCTAGTAATGTAGCTGTTATTATGATATTCTTATCTTTTTATCTATTTACTTATTATTTTGGGGACTTTTAACATCGCAATAACCTCATAACTCCCCTTTCAAGATGTCGTTTTTTAACTTTTAAACCTTGTATATATTTTAATGCGCCTTGAACAAATTATGTTTGTATGTATGTAAAGTAAAACATAATCAATAAACTTATCATTTTAACTGTCTGACTCTGTTCAGATTATTTTGAATTTTTCACATGACCGAGAACAAGGTGCAGTGACCAAGGAGACTCAAGGTAGCTTATCGTAAATTTACTGGAATAAGAGGCGCAGTGCTTATTAAATTTTTCACGCCTCAAATGCGGCTCTTATTTGAGGGCGGCGCTAATTCGGGGTGGATCTTTCCGGGAAATCGGGGGTAGAGCTTATTCGAGTTAATATGATATGGGTAAACCTATGAGATTTCAAGCTAATATTGAAACCAAGACAGTTTAATTCAGTTTTAAATTCCCCGCCCGGATTGGCTAGGAAAATATTCAGATGACGCTTTAAATTCAAAAGAAATGTCAAAATAATGATAAAAAATGGGTAGCATATAGCCTTTTCAAGCTATTGGGAATTGGGAATTGGGAATTAAGCAGTTGGTCCGACGAAACTCACTGAAATGATTTGCTTGAGTGACTACCAAACAGTAGCTTCCTTAAGTACGTCTAACGCTCCTCTGACCTCCTTTTCTCGATACTTTTGTAAATCGCGGTATTTTTCTGGAACAAATGAGAGTTAGAACAATGGCATTTGATCTCAGGGCAGAAAGAAGAAATTTGTAACGGCGGGAACCGTTTATGACTGCAGATTTTTTGCAATCAACCCTCTTTAATTTAAGGCTGTGTTCACGCTATATCGAATAGCTTTTCGTGGAACAACGAAATGCCATCCGATATAGTGTCAGCAGCTATCCGATATTTCACTCTCCACTTTAGACATCGGCGCGACGCAGCTTTGCTCCGTCACAGAAATGGCAGTGCCACAACAGTTTTTATGTGTGAACAAAAGCCCAATCCGATATGATTTTCGCGGCGGCCCAAAAGCTATCCGGTATAGTATAAAGATCTCTTCGATATTTGACCCTCCACTTTAGAGATCGGCGCGGCGCATTTTTGCTCCGTCACAGAAATCGCGCCGCCACAACAGTTTTTATCTGTGAACAGAAGTTCAATCTGAGATGATTCTCGTGGCCCCGCGAAAAGCTATCCGATATAGTACACACACCTATTCGATATTTCACTCTCCACTTTAGACATCGCCGCGGTGCAGCTTCGCTCCGTCACAGAAATCGCGCCGCCACAACAGTTCTTATGTGTGAACAGTAGCCCAATCTGATATGATTTTCGTGGCGGCGCAGAAGCTATCTGATATAGTGTGAACACCTCTTCGATATGTAACTCTTCATTTCAGAGAGATCGGCGCGGCGCAGCTTTGCTCCGTCACAGAAATTGCGCCGCCACAACAGTTTTTATAGTGAGCAAAAACCCTATACATACACACTTTATTTGATAAAGCAGGTTTGTTAAAATGGCAGCGAAATGTTAATGTGAACCTTCTCTATATCAACTGAATTGATAAATACCAAAATAAATGAATAAATAAAAGATATATATAATATATATATTATATAGCGCACAAAATTTTTACATATATATCCGATATGATTCTCGTGGCGGCGCAAAAGCTATCCGGTACAATGAGAACATGACCTGTATTGGGAATTTAACTACTCAGTTTGCGTAGCGAAGTGTCCGCGAGTCGAGAGTTAAATAAGTTTTTGACTGCTTTTTAGTGAGGCAAAATTAAAGCAATTTCGAAAATTGTGCAAACGTCTGAAAAAATCCTTGCTAAGCCCCTGTTTTTCATGATTATGTCTGCCTTCGTGGCCAATTCAACAACGGAAGTGTGAAGAAATTGTTTGCGTCTTGCTTCATGGAGACGATTGTTCATCGAAAACGCAGTCAATGAATTACTGCTGTCCTGTTGACAGCAAACAATGGTTTGTCAAGTTCTTTGTCCACACAGATGCGATCATTTCTCCCTCCAAACACGCCCGTCGTTTAATAAAGAAGACTACCCCAGGACTGTCGAACTGACCAAACTTTCTGAGTACTTCTCCTCGAATCCCAATAACCTTCTTCCCCCTAACCAGCGCTCAGCTTCAAATTGAAACTTCTCGTAATACGTTACTGTAAATTATTTTGATTTTCCTCGCTTCTTACTTTATATATTATATTCATTTTTTTTGTTTAAACATAATAGTATAAACTACGAGTACCTTTCGGGAAATGCCAACGAGGCGAATTCGTTTTTCTTTTGTGGAATGTGGCTATTGTTTCTACGCGATTTTAAATGATTTTTGAGATTTAAAATTGATTTCATGAGAAAAGGATGGCTAATTAATTTCATCTAAGTTTGAAACAACAACTTCGGTACATTCTAGGCTTTCACTTTTATTAAACCATAACAACATAGCTTGAAGCTCTATTGATAAATTGGAGCCAGTTAGCTCTTGATATATGCTGATATGTTTTATGGAAAATTCCAATTAACCATGATAATTATGTAAATATTTTGCGATTAAGTCTTATGTCCTTTTGCGTCTTTAACGCAAATGTCCGCCCTATCGCGCAGCCAAATTGACAAGTATGACAAAGAATGATTAGCAAGAATGTAGAATAATTAACATGATGGCGGCAAATACGAAAGATTTTCGTTGTCAAAAACTCCCCAATCATCTTCAGAATCCTCATTTGCTTCGCTACACTCTTCTTACTGTCAAATACACCGCTTTATTCCTCAAAAGGCAAAACAATGACCAAAATCAAAAGCGAAGGCTTCATCAGACTTTTACTCGATTCGAGTCTCTAGGACATTTCTCGAGAGAAAAAAGCAGTTTTTGGACGGCCAAAATTCACTAATTTTGGGGGGGAGACGCATTTACACAGTTCAGAATTGTTAATCAAACTTATCTTAGAACCAAAATCAGTTTTAAAAATTTTATGTCATATTCACTTAGAGACAAGTTAAAAATTGGCAAAACGCTACGACTGCCGGAAAACAAAAACAAAAGGGATCACCTGTTACTTTGATTGTAATTTCGCTAGAAAGTTTATCCAGTGAGACACCGCAACCGCCGCTTTTAAAACTGAAAATTGAACATTGAATAATGGCCTCAGTTTTTAGACAACCTGCAGATACGGGTAGGAGGGCCAGCAGTTTCCCAAAATTTTATACAGATCCATTTTCACAATTTACGCTTTCAACCTGATGCATTGTACGTAATTAGTTATATATACCTTCAGTTGTAATTTTAGTCTTCTTTGAAATAACAAAATCCCTGTGCTTGAATTTACATGTAAGGTGTTTCTTTCTGTATCTTATTGTATTTCTTTTCTTTTCCTTTTCTCTTATGTAATTTAATACCGCCTTTATATACAATTTGTCCTGCCTAGATTAGCATAATAGCTATTTGCGGGACATAAAGTATCGTAAACTTTATAGCGGAGCTCTCGCGCGCTCTCTCGCGCGCAACAGAGCACCATGGGTAAGAAAATTTGGTAACCTATGCATCAAAGAAATTTTGGTTCTGAGAAAATCGTCCGTACGTCCACCCCTTCATGTAAGCAGGAATGAAATTTTGCATTTCAAGCACCTGCGCGTTTCGGCGGTAAATCGCAAAGCTTCCCGGGCTTTTAGAGATAAAAACAACAATAACAAAACCGACTCTTTCTTTCGACTTAATTTTAATGTTTACATTGACGTGAATAACGAAGAAAGAGCTAGAGCGAGAGAAAAAAACAAAGGAGACCAATTTCGTTGAAAGAAAAATATGAAAATTTTATAGTGGCGGTGAGAAACATGGGGAAATGCTAGCGGCCACCAAGGTGAAAATGGGCGGCAGCGAAAAAAAAAGTGGACAGGAACACATAAAACGTGTAACTAGGATGTTTCTGGCAGTTTCTTGTTGTAGTCGTGCAAAAAAACGGCAAAGAAATGTACAAAAAAGTGTGCTGCACGTTCAAAGTTTTTTTTTTGCTTATTAGACCCACTGATTTTTTTTTTTTGGCATTTCGTTGCTTCCTTGCTAAGCATTACACGATTTTCCATTTTATTTGAGTAAACTATAGATATTTGACTACCGAGAGCTTCGCTTTTAGCCCTGGCTAAATCTATATTATAGTATGCTCTGATTGGTCAAAATTTGACAGGTGAGTTCATGCGCAAATTATATGCAGCATCTGGAAACCTGAAGCTGACAGAGTTTTGTATCATATTGTGGTGGTTTTTAACTGTCTTTTTCCACTGGATATAGAAAATGAGACACAGCTGCTACCAAGAATATTTTGTTATTCACGGCTGGTTTGTTTATTAAGTTTTTGGTTCAGAAATGCGCCGCTTGTCGGAAATCCGATTTAGGAAAGCATCGTTTTCAAAAAATGAGCTTACTCACTTCACCTTGCTTGATGCGTAAGAAAGTTGAAAAGTTCTTGCCTTAAACGGCTTGGAAACTAAAATTTCGAGGATGTTTTTGGACTTTTTACATTTAGGGCATGAATTTTTCGTCATTTCAGGCCATGGAACCTAAAAATGAGCCTAGCTAGCTGTAAAAAGGGGCAATACGGAGGCAATACGTCCTAGCCGGCATGATCACATGCTGTTTACGGAAAATTCCCTCATCCATGTCAGGAAATTCTGTATTTTAAAGCCTCCCCTAGGGCATGACTCAGCAATTGAGGACATTTCTGCTATGTTTTCATTGTTGGTTAGCATGCAAGGATTTTTCGCATGCCTATTGTCAATGATTTGCTCACTGGTAATAGAGGGGGTGGCCCCAGAGTGGTTTTGCATTGAAATTGGCATGCAACAGAAATTCGCATGCCCTGTAAGCATAATTTGAGGTTCTATGACCTTCTCACCCAGGCCGCGAGAAGCCTAGGTTCTAGTAATAAGTAATTCATACCCAGCAAAATCTCCGGCATGCCGGGCATGCCAAATTTTCTGACATGCCCGGCATGCTAAATTCTCTGGAATGCCGGGCGTGCCATAATCTGGGTCATGCCGGGCATGCCAAAATTGGTCTCTGGCATGCTCTCAACGCACAGGTTATAATTCCTTGAATCTACAGATATTTTAAGCCTGGCTAAAAACAAAAAACAAAACTAAACAGATCACAGTGCTTATCTTTTGATGTACGGTTACACGATGACGTCATTGCTATTCCTTTCATTTTCATAGATTTGGTTGTCCCAGAGAACTTTAAATAACAAAAGCTCTAATTTTCACAAGCAAGTAAAACCCTGAGGGATTCGTCCGTAGTAATAAAACAGCGTCATCGTGGAGATGACCTGTTGGGGGATTGTAAAAACTCCTCACCCCTTTTAATGAGTCTTTAATAGGATTCCCATTTCACATTGCGAATAAAATGGAATTGACTGAAATCAGTAAAAAAAGAGACAGAGACCATTTTCATTGTATAATAAAATGCATCTATGTTCCATGAAAGCTTTTAAAAATACAAGGTTACAGAATATCTTTCAAAGTTCATTACAAACTGAGCTAAGCCCCAAAATCACTGTTCATTATTCCGTAGATTATGACGTTTGACAATGCAATGTGCTTGAATATAACGTTGCAATTACAAATCTCTCTAACGCAATTTTCCCTACGTTAGAAAAGCTGTTAGAAAGTCTGAGTTCCTCTTTCTTGTTTTGTAGGCTTGCCGGGAATTAATGTTTTTGTGTCATTACCAGTGTCTGTGTTCTTTCTTTTTAACTCAAAGTAAGTCAGTAATAACTGACAGTATCAAAGAATTGCTCTCTAGAAAAGTAATTATCTCCTCGTCATGTCTGGAAGTTACCTGTAACAAAAAAGAAATGGAATGTTAACACATGCAAGGGCAATATGAAAAAAAGAAATAGTACATGTAGACTCAGCTTCTCTTAACATATTTTCATACTGGCTTGTTGAGTCTGTTAAAGGTCGCAACTAATTGTCTGAGGCTAATTTCACAAGAGTGTGCAATTGAGATAAATGCATGGTAAATAAAGTGAAAGAAACGTGGTTTCACATTAGCCAATTTACATTGCGCTGTTCGATGATATTTACACGCTTTTCTACTGCGAAATAAACCTTTGCATTTGGATTTGCAAGTCAAGATTATACCGAGTTTGACTGACACTTAATTGAACAACAGTTTCATTTTTAAGCAGGTAAGGTGTAGACCCATATAAAGCCGGAATATGTAAAGGAAACTCAGCGAAAACTTTTTCGCATCTTTTTGTGGCGATATTCTCTCACGGCCCGTCAACTGAGTAGGGGTTGCGAAGAAAAAATAAATTAGGACCAAAGGTTAAAGCCTGTCCGGTTACATCATTTCGTATGTTACCTAGTGTTCTAATAAATAGGTCATAAAATAGGATTTAACGAGTGCGAATTTGTTTCTCAATCGGTGTATAGAAAAGTGAGGCTATCAAATGAGAAGTTTATAGAATATCAAAATTATTAAATTAAAAGCTCATATAATTAGGAAAATTCCTATACGAAAATAATGCTAGTGACATTAAATTGATCAGATAAAATTCTCAGAAAATATGTCGAATAAAAGCCTCATTGTTTGCTTTTGTTTTTGCGTAAAGGTAAATTTTTCGGCCCACAAAGCAAAGTTGAAAAAGCGACTAAATCTTAGTTTTTTACATTGAACATGCTTATTAGCTTAGTTTTCGTCCGTTTTAAATGCTTTATAACCCAATCATAATTTAATCATAAAATAGTACAAAATCATTTCAAAAACCATGTTCATTGAAAGTAGAGCCGGCAAACGTGAACATTTTGTAATTCAAAAGTCGGACCCAGCCAGGTTGTTTAAGCTTAGAATTATTTGCATTTTAGCGTCCTATAAATTTACCAGAATCGCCTCTCAGAGGCTTACTGTAGCAAAGCATTTTGTGGTACACTCGTAGACAAGCAATGTAAGCATTAAGTCTTTGCTTGGATGAGATGTCCAAAAGAAAAATTAGTTTTGTGGACCTAAACGCACATTCACAGACTGCTTATATTGAGTTGTTTACAACTTTGCACTGACACACGCGGCATGTTCATTTTTTTAAAGCGAAATCCAAATCTGATTTTGGCATTTGATTTACGGATATTTTATTTTGTCTCCAAAAGTGATTGTAATATCCGTTTGATTGTCTTTCAAACAACAGTCAAACTATGCAGCAAAAATAAGTAACTTTACCAGTACAGTGAAAAAAATATGACCGTAGGTGCCAAAAATAATTATACTCGAGCTATAAAATTAGATCTGACTTTTTTTAGCTTTGGTTTCTTATTATTGAAGTTTTCTCTAGTCTTCTTAGCAGCAGAAGAAGATTACAAGACATACAAACAGAAACAATCCGAAGTGAACGAGATGACAACCACTTTTGCCGGAGTTCTTAGGCATGCTCAACAGCAAGATAAACTGAATGTCTAAAGGCTAATTCACGGGATTTGTTCAATATTCAGGCTTTTTCTTTACCAAATTAATACTAAATTTGTACTTACAGTCTCTCGCAGAATCCATTTCTTGTTCAGCATTCACCAACATCTCAACCATGCACCGCAGAAAAAAAAGACAAACAAGTGCGAAGAGACATGACGACATCGTGACGCCACAACTGCTACGCTACAACAAACTAGATTCATCGTCATCCGAAAACGCTTCTGCGGAAATTCGGCCGATTTCGTGCGTGCTCGGGGTATCTTCGGATGACGCAGATGACGTTGCTCAAAGGACTATCGTCAGCAAGGAGTAAAACAGTTTGCGAGATTCGGATAGCCGACAAGGAGCGCACTGAAAAACTAAGCAAAATCTCTCTGAGAAGGCAGTCCAAATTCACCAAATCAGAACGTCTTTGCAGTATTAACGTCGTACTCTCGTATTGACTTGAACGACCTGGTAAGCTTAATTTTCACCAGTCTTTTAATGCTGTTGGCCGGGAAACATTCCGACGCCATAAAACTTAAGCATGGATAAGTTCATCCTGAGAAGATTTGTTATCTTATTGTTTAAGACGCTTTTCCCCGATCAAATTTAAATCTGGACCCAGAAATGTCAGTATCGGTTTGAAATAAAAGGATTGATCTTTGATTGCAAGTTAAGTATTCTATTTTATGCATGAATAATGTTGTTTTGTTGTGCTTTTTATTTATAAATCCAGGCTTCTGTCCTCAGTTTTGCCAGTCGATCCCGTGACACACATTGTGACAAAACATGACTTTTTTTTGTTATAATCTGCATTTATTGCCAGGCATGAAACCTGTAACTTTAAGCTCCCTAAGATATATTTGGCGATTATATGTGATTCTCAGGATATGATGCTGACGCGAACATCAAAATCAGTCTCGCTGGGCATGCCAATGTCTTGCCTGGCATGCCGGGCATGTCAAACAAAGTGGCTTCACCATCGGCATGCCCGGCATGCCAAACCAGAGGAGCAAAAACTGGGAATGAATGATCAACGCGGCGAGAGATGTGGGACCTAAGGTTGGCTGGGTCAATTTTGGGCTGCGAGGGCATGAACCCATTTTTTCCATGCCTATGAGATGTTATTTCTAAGTACCAATGTTCCCTTGAATTTTGTCATGCCTAAATATATAAAATTTTCCCTCTCTCATTAATCCTCAGACTGGATGCGATTTTTACGCTCGCTAGGCATGTTCAACTGAAAATCATGCCCATACCCTTATTCAAAACAAAATGCTATCAAATTTTAGTTTCCAAGCCGTTCTTATTTGATGACTTTCAGGACCTGCATCCCGACTGGTAACCCTGAGTCATTCTTTTATTTGATCCATGAAATCGAGCATGGTTTATACGGCTTTATGCGCGTTTGTAGGATTTGATCAGGTTTGATATAAGCTTACAGAACTTTAAAAAAGCCTTTAGACATTTTCTGACCGCAAATAGAAAGAAAACGTTCCGAAGAGTATTTAGCTTTAATTTTGGCTTTAAAAAGAAATTTTTTTGCCTCGCGTTTATCTTTAAAAAATAGCAAATACCAGGACGCCGGGTTAAAACATAAGCTTAAATCTGTAAGGTTTTAAAGGACAGGTTCTCGGTTAAGCGCATGCTCATTAATTAAGTTACTTTTTTTCCAATTTATTATTAATTCTATCGGTTAATAATCCCACTCACATGTATCTCAGCGATCTCAGAGTGTATTTCAAACTAGAAGTGTGTTTCAGAGTAACCTGAAGTAGGATGGAGGAGTACTAAAATCGCAGAAAAAATTAGTGGATTATGCCAACACTACCATGCAACGTTGAATTTATTGTTGACCCGAAGGTTTTATTCCATGGTTGATTAATTTGCAGCTATTTGCAAATATTTAAGTTGATCAAGTGCAAGTGACTGCCAGGAGAGTGTGCATATTAGTTCCTTGACAACATTATGACATGATCATATTACTTGCATAGACGATACAGCATGTCCCGGCAGGACAAAAACGGCATTTTGATAAATGAGCATGTGCTGAACCGTGAACCTGTCCCTTTCAGCTTATATGTGCTTAAAAACTCAGGAGTTTGAGAGACACTTTACTCTCAGTACTTGTCTTCGTGAATGAAATTTGTTGTCTCTGTAAATGTTTCACCGAATTATATTTCTTTTGCTGATCGTTAGTAGTCTCTTTCGCAATTTTAATCGCTGTGCCGTTTGTTTTTAGTCGTACATGAGCATCGCATGCAGAAGTATACTCAAAATCCCGCACGTATCAAACGCTTTTAAAGATTACACTTAAGCTTAACAAAACCATAAATAAGAAATAAACATAATAAATTCTTCATTATGTTGCAGCGTAACTCTATTGAGGTTCAATAGTTCAAACACCAACAGCTCGCACTACTTATTCGGCGCTTATCAAAAGTAAGAACTGGCTGGCTGTATAGTTGATTTTGGATTATTTCAACGCATGTTTAACGTTTTCGCTAAAAGCGCGTTATTACCCTGCATACCACATAGGAGCAGATTGTTCTGAATGAACAGTCTTCATGAAAACGTTTTACAATGTAGTCAATTCAGCTCTATAATTTGTTGTGCAAAGGAAGCGGGTGCTTCGATCGTCCTGAATATTGAATGAGTTCAACTTGTCTAGCAAAATTGCAAAAAAACTGCAAAAGTATAGATTTAAATAGGGCAAAAAAGAGCAAAATCCGTCCGAGGTCTGTATAAAAAACAGCGCCTCATAGTGCTGTACGCGTGTACCTCAGATGTGATGTATAAAAAGTTTCAAAGGCTCGTTTACACGCCACCAGACTTGTCGGCAAGATTGTGTAAAGTAGACTTGCCGAACACAAAAATCCGGCCTGATTTTTTTATTTTAGACAAAGGAACGCAAACTAGAACTGAACTGCAACGTGTAAATTGGCTGCCACCGAAGACTCTCGTGTCTTATAATCGGCCTTTATAGCATAAAATTATATTCGAGGCTGTCCAGTTATAAAATAAAGGTGGTCGTAAGTGGGCGACTGGGTTATTTTGTTTAGGAAGAATTTCTTTTCCAGGCCTCATCTACTGTCATCGAAGATGATTGCTATTTTGGGGGTGTACATAAAGACTATTAGCTCGATGCAAAATTTGTTTAACCCTTGAACTGTTTGCAAATTCTTTTTCTCCAAAATCACTTAGCCTTTTCCTCAAAAATCACATGAATGTGCCCTAAAGTTAACTGATTTGTGGATTACAAGTTTATTGTTTGATTTAAATCATAAATTTATTAACGGGAGCTTCGCTTTTACCCCTGGCTAAATCTATACATTAGTTCTGTTAACAGATACCTTGTTGTTGTTGTTGCAATGAAAAAAAAAACCAAGTATGACCCCGCTAAAAAGTTGGAGACTAGGTACGCACAAACAGCTATGAAAGTACTGCCGAATAAACTAAAACATACCATATGTTACATTGTTCGTTATTTCTCTTGGATGTAACAAAACTAGATTCATCACGGTTTTGTTCAACAAACAGTTATGCATATCTGGCTTTCAATAGGCCATTTGCATGATGACGTCATTTTACTAATACTACCAGAATATTTCAGGGTTTCGCTTTCTTGTGCAAATTAGGGCTTTTGTTATTTAAACCTCAACGGGATTAACAAATTTAAATGTCAAAGAAAAAACGAAATGAATTCTGGTCTTAGTAGTAAAAGACGTCATCGTGATAATGGCGTATTTTGCTGGCAGGAAACTAAGCTAGAATGAAAAAATCCTTGAGGTGAACATACAAAAGAAAATGTAACTTCTGTAGTATTAAATTGCCAAGCGCATTCCTGTCAATAACATTTTCAGCAAAACGGTCGAACAGCCTGTGTTCACCTGTAAATGCGAGCATTCTTGTGGGAGCAGCATACACGTAACAGTATGTAGGTACAGTTTGAACTGAGAAGAGACTTGCTAACCTTACGATCGGTAAGTTCCAATTCTTTAACTGCTTAAATTTATTGATTTCAAGGCATTTTTTTATTTTCCCTAAATGAAATAATAATACCAATTTTGTTTTGTCTTTTTTACCCCTCAGCGTTCCGCTCATTTGCTTCAGTGAAGAGTTTAAAAGACGGGGGTCTTTTAGAAATCTGCGCATTAAGAACGACTTTTGCAACTAAGGTTAGTACAGTCAAAATAAAAAGGCTATGAACAATAAATTCTTTAAATACGGAATTAATTTAAAAATGATTTGATCTTTGCACATTTAGCTTCTTAGGAAGAAAAAGGAGATCATTTGTTTCTTGTCGTTTTATGCTGACCGCAAAGTAAAAAGTTCAGTGATCTGGCATCTGCAACGAGTGCTTCACTTTTATTGACAAGAAAGGTATAGTAGGCACTTGCTTTTTGAAAACCTCATTTAAATTAACCAAAATTGCAATACTCCTGATAATCAAACCCAAAATCTGGGTGAAATAAGACTTTGGAAAACATTCTTATACAACAAAAATGGGGTTTAAGGTGGCTTGCGTGGATTTTCACAGTTTTCAATTGGTGGCAGTGCCTCATAAAGTCTGAGAATTAGCTGCATTGCTATTCACGCACAAATCTGGCAAACGGTCTCCACAGTTGTATTAGAGAAAGATGACTTTGATTTGTTATGATCAGTGTTTTATTGACTTCATAGTTGTCATGGCGTCATAATGTTATCATGATCTATTTTACTGTGGTCGAAGCTTGTCCCTGTAGAACTTCGAGAACACTTACAGCTATCATTCGGCAAGAATATAAATCAATTCGATTTTACTGGTCATAAATATTTTCTAAGAAATTAGCGCTGTAAGTGGACTGTACTTTTCGACGAAAATCGAGTCTAGTGGAAAATTTTGCAGATATTTTGGCTCAAATGTCTGGTATCTGCTTTAAATAAGTATTCATAATATTATGCTTTCTTGGTAATTTTTCCGAAAAATCGATGGAGCAAAAGACGGTAACTGTGAAATTGTTTTTCAATTTCGACGACTAATTACTTTGAGACAGAATGGGCGACTTCTAGTGCCTGCATTTCTAGATTCTTTTCTCCGTTTCCCAAAATAAGCGTTTACAAGTTGAGTTTTTGAAACCATTTTGCTCGTTTACGCAAAAAAAAAAACGGTACTATCTTTGATGGTACATGCGCGTTTACTTGTATCCAACACTGTGACAAAATCGGTTTGAAAACCTCTGTTTTCATTCATTCTAAAAAGTATAGCATGCCGGAAAATATGGGAGCGTTTTTACCGGACGGTGGCCCATACCAGTCCATACCAGTTTTAGTTCTTTTTAACCATATTGACTAGTCTGTCTACAGCCGTCCCCTCCCCTCAGAAAAAAGGCAGTTTTAGCTACGACGACGGCGACGGCCACGAGAACGTCAAAACAGCAATAGGTTTATTAAGCAAAACAACACGTTTGCACGTGCATCTCGCTTTTTTGTACACTTCTTTGCCGTTACTGCACGACTACGACGTGAAAATGCCCAATTTCACGTTTTACGGAGGACGTAAACAAGCGACGACAAACTTTTCTTTCTCTTTCTAAAATTGAGTGCGGTCCCTAAGAAATCAACTCAAGTGAAATTGGCCTACATTAGACATTCTCAGCAAATTGGAATAAGCGGGACAAAACGCTAATTCATTTTAAAAGTGACGTTTTCGCTACGGTAGCCGCCGTCGATGCTAAAACTTCCTAAAGCCGGAGAAGGGAACTGGCCAGAAAAAAGCTTGACTAACTTCAAATGGCGTTTTGCGACAAAAGGTCCAGAGACAAATCGGTTAAATTAATACAATTCGAAGAAGCCTACAGGAAACACCATTAACCAAAAATGTTTAGAAATTCATTTTTATTTCTAATTTTCTTGCAGATGGAACGTTCTTCGCAACTTTTGTCCAACCCGAATTACATTGATAATCAGTCCTCCGTTACCAACAGCACAGCTGTAGCCATTACCTCTTTAGTTTACGTGTTCGCGCCAGCAGATTTCAGCATAAAACTCGTTCTTGTTGTACTTTTTGTAATTTTTGGAGTCATCGGATTGGTGGGCAACATCCTAATTCTTTACTTTCTTTCCAAGAAAAAGTCAGTTCCCTTCCTGCAGTCTTCTCCTTTCCTAAGAAACTTCAATCTTTACATGAAGAGTTTAGCTCTTTCAGAGATACTCGTAACTTCCACTGGAGGTGTTTTAGTTTGTATAGAACTAATGTGTGATGTATTCCAAAATGGCTGGCCTTGTAAAATACGTCGATATATCAGTGGTACGTTTTCCGTTATAAGAGCGAATAATTTAATTGTTATAAGCACCGAGAGGTTTCTTTCAACCCGTGATGTTCCTAAAACGTTCAGTGGTTCCACTGTCCGTAAATTAGTGTATACAGCGTGGCTTTCAGGTTTTTTTATGGGGTTGTTTCCAGTAGCAACAACAAATGGTGTAAGATACGATATTAATGCTACACATTACACAATGGTCTGTAAACCCGATACCAGTTATCTACCTAACAGAGTAATTGTAGTAGGCTTTGTACTGATACAGGTCGTCATACCAAGCATTGCTTTGATTTGTATGAACATCATCATAGCCAGAAGGATATGGAAAGGAAGCAAAAGAAGGATCGATATACAACGAGATAACGCCATTAGGGCGAGGATGAGATCACACCAAATCAAAAAAACTAGTTTAATTATAATTGTCACCATAGCTTCCGTTCTTCCTTATTCGACAATACTGTATTACACAGCCTTTGTTGCTGTAGCTGAAGCATCGCTAGATTTCCAGGAAGATTTTGTGATAAGACATTTTAGTCGGGCGCTAGTTTTTTCCGTCAGTGCTACAAACTTCATCATATATCTGGTTCAGATGAAGGATTTCCGTGTATTTTTACTGAAACATTTTTGCGGCAAGAGTGTTGGAGATGCTCAAATTAATCCTAATGTAGAATAGCCGGGGAGCACATAGTTGCCATGCGGCTTACCTGTCAGCGGTGAGTTAAAGATACATAGTATCAAACCGATAAAAAGTTTTAATTTAGAACTTTCAGTGCTACAGAACTGCAGCTGTTATATTGAAGAAGACTGAGCTTATTCAGTGCAAAATATTGCAACTACATATAACTTAATTTTAACAGGCAATTCAAAGTATTGGCTCAGAAAACGAAAAATTGAGGTGGCATAGACTGTTTATATCTTCTCTTTCCTCATCACATTTTTCTGAACTAGCCTGGGTCATGCGTTAAAGTTGTGCCATATAAATCAACCTCGTTTAAAGATAAGAGGTCGCAGTATCACTTAAATACGGTAGTTGTACAGTGATTATGATTGCCAATAACTCAAACAAAGTATTAGGCGTTACTGAATGTTCCGTGAGAACTCCAAATGTAAATATATTTTCAATGCTGCACAAATCTCTCGTACGGCCAATCTTAGAATATGCAGCACCAGTCTGGAGCCCTTATCTGGCAAAGGACATCCATTTACTTGAATGTGTACAGAGAAGCGTCAAGAATGACCCTAAACCAACGTAAAGGAGGGATGTCTTAGAGGAACGATGCCAGCGGGGTAAGGGGCTTACTTTATCTGATCGAAGAACTTGTTTATCTTTAGTCGAATGTTACAAGATTGTCTTTGGTTATTATCATCTTAACTTTGAAGATCTTTTGAATTCACTACTACTTAATCTACAGGGGCAATCATTCTTATAAACTTTATGTCAAATCAACAAGACTAAATTGTTATAAACATTCTTTTTTTCATTAGAGTAGTCAACTGTGGAGTGATTTACCCAAAGACATAGTTGAAGCTGATAGTCTTCAATTATTTAAATCCAAGCTAAAACTAAATCTCAATGTTTAACCAAGTGAATTGCCTTTTACTGTTATTGTAGTTGTCAATATGAGATTTTTATCTTTATATTTATTTCCTTATTATTTTGGGGAGTTTTAGCATAGCAATAACCTCATAACTTCCCATTCAAGATGTCGTTTTTCAACTTTTAAACCTTGTATATATTTTAATGCAGCTTGAACAAATTATGTATGTATGTATATAAAGTGAAAAGGTGAATAATCAATAAACTTATCTATTAACTGTTTGACTCTGTTCAAATTATTTTGTTTCATAAGAATTTTACACATGTCCGAGAACAAGGCGCGGTGACCAAGGAGACCCCGGGTACTGGAATAAGCGACGCTGTGCTTTTTAAATTTTTCACCCCTCAAATGCAGCGCTTATTTGAAGGCGGCGCTAATTTGGGGTGGATCTTCCTGGGTAATCGGGGAGGCGCTTATTCGAGTAAATATGATATGGGTGAACCTATGAGATTTCAAGCTTATATTGAACCCAAGACAGTTTAATTCAGTTTTAAATACCCAGCTCTGATTGGCTAGAAAAAAATTCGGATGACGTTTTGAATTTAAAAGAAATAACAAAATAATAAACAATTATTGGATGAGGTTTTTGTGACATCCGGAATAATCAAGGTCGAGGTAAGTGTTATCAGCCAAAGCCGAAGGCTGAGGCTGATAACACTAACCGCTAAGGCGCCCTATATTCATGAAATTGAAAGGTCCATTTTGGTTTACCCAAACTCGTATGATCAAAGGCGGAAAAGTATCCGGATTCATTGGACAAACTGTTTACACTACAAAACATTGCGAATTTACAAGGCATCGCATTTACTCTAGATTTCGGATTCAAAATCTAGAGAGACTTGACCAAATCGGCACAGTTCAATTCTTATTCACGCGCTGTATCTGCTTAAAAACGACAAAACGAACCCAGTAACAAAATTGTCCAAATGTAAGACAGATGATTGACGTGCATCAGTCAATGGACCGAAACACGCGACAAAGTATTTTACAATTTGCTAATTGGACTTCATATGTAGAAAAAAAGAACTCTAAGGTTTTCAACGTAACCAAATCTTAAATCAAGCTAAAAAGAAAGGTTTTGGGGGGCTGGTGGGGGGGGGAGGAGGGGGGAGCGATTTGGAGAATTGTGCGTACGTCTGAAACAATCCTGGCTAAGCCCCTGGTTTTCATGATTATGCTCTGCCTTACTAAGCGACCAATCGTGGCCAATTCAACAACGGAAGTGTGAAGAAATTGTTTGCATCTTTCTTCGTGGACATGATTTGTTTGTTGAAAACTCCGTAAATGAATTACTAGCCTATTACTAGGCTATTAATAGCCCTTTCAAACAAGAACTCGCATGAAAGCTTGCTCAACTTTTAGGTCCTCAGGAACAGACGCCGATTGGTTTCATACTGGATTACCCAATCTCGAACCACTAGTAGTAAAAACAAGACCAAGACGTTGCCCAAATATAGCAAAGAATAGGGCTACGCAGAATTTGAGAAATTTTCCTAACATTGCGCAGATTACGAATCTGCCGCCGAGGCAGCCTCGCTTTTTAGCTCGGTTGCCTCGTTGGCAATTAACCATGATCATTATGTAAAAATATTTTGCGTTGAATTTTTATGTCCTTTTTCGTCTTTAACGCAAATGTCCGCCCTATCACGCAGCCAAATTGACAAGTATGACACAGAATGATTAGCAAGCATGTAAAATAATCAGTAACTTGATGGCGGCAAATAAGAAAGATTGTCGTTGTCGAGACCCCCATCATCTTTAGAATCCTCATTTGCTTCGCTACACTCTTCTTACTGTCAAATACACCGCTTTATTCCACAAAAGGCAAAACAAAGACCAGAATCAGAAGCGAAGGCCTCATAAGACTTTCTTTGACTCGTTCCGAGTCTCTAGGACATTTCTCAAGGGGAAAAAGCAGTTTTTGGACGGCCAAAATTCATGAAATTTTTTTGGGGAGACACATTTTAGAATTGTTAATCAAACTTATCTAAGAACCAAAACCAGTTTTAAAAATTTTATGTCATATACACTTAGAAACAAGTTAAAAATTGGCAAAAAGCTAAGACTACCGGAAAATATGAACAAAAGTGATCACCTGTTACTTTGTTTGTAATTTCCCTAGAAAGTTTATCCAGTGAGACACCGCAACGCTTTTTAAACTGAAAATTGAACATTGAATAATGGCCTCAGTTTTTAGACATAACCTGGAGATACGAATAGGAGGGCTAGCAGTTTCCCAGAATTTTATACCTATCAATTTTCATAAACGCTTTCAACCTGATGCAATGTACGTAATTAGTTGTATACACTTTCAGTTGTAATTTTAGTCTTCTTAGAAAAAACAAAATCCCTGTACTTGAATTTACATGTAAGGTGTTTCTTTCTGTATTATCTGTTTCTAAAATCAGTTGTCCTGCCTAGATCAGCACAGTAGCTATTTGCGGGACATAAAGTATTGTAAATTTTATAGTTCTGTTAATAGATACATTGCTGTTGTTGTTGTTGTTGTTGCAATGAAAAAAAAAAAACAAGAATGACCCTCCTAAAAAGTTGGAGACGAGGTACGCACAAACGTTAAAACAGCTATCACATGAAACTACTGCCGGATACCATAAAACATACCGTATGTTACATTGTTCGTTATTTCTCTGGGATGTAACAAAACTAGACCATTCACGGTTTTGTTCAATCTGGCTTTCAATTTTGGCGGCAGGAAACTGAGTTACAATGAAAAAATCCTTGAGATGAACATACAATAGAAAATGTAACTTATGCAGTAGAAATTACCAAACTCATTCCTGACAACAGCATTTTCAGCAGAACGGTCTTACAGCCTGTGTTCACATCACTGGCCGTGAATGCGAGCATTCTTGTGGGAGCAGCAGTATGTAGGTACAGTTTGAACTGAGAAGAGACTTGCTAACATTAAGATCGGTAAGTTCCAATTCTTTAACTGCTTTTTTGATTTCACTGTATTTTCTATCTGCACTCGGTGAAAAAATAATACCAATCTTGTTTTGTCTTTTTTCAGCCTCAGCGTTCCGCTCATTTGCGGCAGTGAAGAGTTTAAAAGACGGGGGTCTTTCAGAAATTTGCGCATTAAGAATGACTTTTTCAACTAAGGTTAGTATAGTCAAAATAAAATGATTATGAACAATATATTCTATGAATACACAATTTAACTTAAAAATAATTTGATCTTTACACATTTAGCTAGTTAGCTAATAATTTGTTTCTTGTCACACAGTCCGTTTTTTGCTGACCGCAAAGTGGAAAGTTCAGTGATCTGGCATAACCAACGAGTGCTTCACTTTTATTGACAAGAAAGGTATAGTAGGCACTTGCTTTTTGAAAACCCCATTTAAATTAACCAAAATTGCAATACTCATGATAATCAAACCTAAAATGTGAGCGAAATCAGACTTTGGAAAACAATCTTAGAACAAAAATGGGGCTTACGGTCGCTTGAGTGGATTTTTCCAGTTTTTAATTGGTGGTAGTGCCTCACAAAGTCAGAGAATTTGCTGCATTGCTATTCACGAACAAATCTGGAAAACGACCTCCACAGCTGTATTAGAGAAAGATGACTTTGATTTTTGTTATCATCAGTGTTTTATTGACTTCATAGTTGTCATGGCGTCATAATCTTATAATCTATTTTAGAGTGGTCGAATTTCTCGGAATCGGATAGGAAAGCTTGTCCCTGCAGAACTTCGAGAACACTTACACCTATCATCCGGCAAGAATATAAAACAATTTGATTTTACTGGTCATAAATATTTTTTAAGAAATTAGCGCTGTAAGTGGACCGTACTTTTCGAGGAAAATCGCGTCTAGTGAAAATTTTGCAGATATTTTGGCTGAAATGTCTCGTATCTGCTTTAAATAAGTATTCATACTATTATGCTTTCTTGGTATGCCAAAAAATTTTGAGAAAAATCTGTGAAGTAAAGACGGTAACTGTGAAATTGTTTTTCAATTTCGACGACGAATTGCTTTGAGACGCAATGAGCGACTTCTAGCGCCTGCATTTCTAGATTCTTTTCTCCGTCTCCAAAAATAAGCGTTTACAAGTTGAGTTTTTGAAACCATTTTGCTCGTTTACGCAAAAAAAGAACGGTACTATTTTTGATGGTACATGCGCGTTTACTTGTATCCAACACTGTGACAAAATCGGTTTGAAAACCTCTGTTTTCCTCGCCCAAATAGGAGAGCTTGCTCGCAGGCTACCTTAAAACCGACTTAGCTCACTTGCGGTTACTTGCGGTTTCTTGAGGTTTGAGAAAGGCGAAACACGTCAATCAATCGTAATTATGTTGCGTGGGAAAATAGCCTTAAGTTAACCTGAAGTAAACAAGAATCGGTTTCGTGTGAATCTTTCCTTTACTTGAAGTAATTAAAATTTACTTGTCTTGAAATATTTCTTAGCTTATTTACGCTCTAGTGTAAAGACTACCATTGACTAGTCTGTCTACAGCAGTCCCCTCCCCTCAGAAAAAAGGCAGTTTTTGCTACGACGACGGCGACGGCAACGGCAACGAGAACGTCAAAACAGCAATAGGTTTATTAAGCAAAACAACACGTTTGCACGTGCATCACGCTTTTTTGTACACTTCCTTGCCGTTACTGCACGACTACGACGTTAAAATGCCCAATTTCACGTAAGAGGACGTAAACAAGCGACGACAAACTTTTCTTTCTCTTTCTAAACTTGAGTGCGGTCCCTAAGAAATCAACTCCAGTGAAATTGGCCTACATTAGACATTTTCAGCAAATTGGAATAAACCGGACAAAACGCTAATTCATTTTACAGTCAAACCAGGTCAAGCGTTCCCGTCGCTAACAAACTAATGAATTCATTAATGGAAAAATGATTTCGTTTGTTGATTCAATAATCCATTCATAAAATGAATAATCCAACGGTCAAATTGTACCTCGATTCAATAATCAAATGTTGATTTGGTTTATGAACAAAATCTACCTGTTCTTTATTCTTGTCTGTTGTGTTCAATCGTATTTGCTTCCCTTTTCCTGCCGTTTACGATTGCGTTTTTCATTGCCTTTAATCAAAATAACAGCTAGAATAGACAGACCGCAAACGCAAAGAAACTGACAAAGGCCGAGGATCGAAATCCACCAATCACCGCACATACACTGACCTCAGTTTGACCGTCGTGTTTTCTAAGAGGTCAGGCCTAGGTCTGTTGCACTGATTATTGGCAGCAAACTGGCGTACATGTAACAGTTTGTTTGGGTTTGAACTTCAGAACTCGCCAGCACTCGACTCTCAGAAAAAAAAGAGGAAAAAACAAAATTCTGAGGTCAACTTGTGGAAAGTGGAATTTTTCAAAAAACAGTAATCGAATCAACATTCGATTATAGAATCGAGTCTAAATATTACTGTTGGATTGTTCATTTTATGAATGGATTATTGAATCAACAAACGAAATCATTTTGGGTGTCTAGAAAACGACGACCTAGAAAACGAAGACCTACGACCTAGAAAACGACGACCTAGAAAACGACGACCTAGAAAGCGACGACCTAGAAAACGACGACCTAGAAAACAACGACCTAGAAAACGACGACCTAGAAAACGACGACCTAAAAAAACCGCGGGGAGTGGGGGGCGCTTAATAGAAGTGTGAGAAATGCCCCATCCCCGGAAAAAACCAAAATAGCATATTCATAGCAAATCTCAGTGTAATCTTATCAAACGTGCCAAACACCCACGCAAATCGCTCATAGCCGCTAGTTACCCGGGGCTGGTTATAAGTAATGCTAAGGTCAAAAGGTCTAATTCGCACGTGCAGCACCCTTTTTTTGCACATCGTAGTACGTGCAGACGATTCTCTCAAAATTTCTTGGATGCATTTTGGGCACTTTCCATGCACCCAAAACTTAAGAAACTTTGGAAACAGCGGCAATTGGTACAGTATTTTCCCGGAAAAGTTCCCAGACTTCCGGAAACGTTTCCGAAATGCGAACCATTCAACCAGAAATTTTAGACATTCGGGAGCAAATTTGAATGCGGAAAGAAAACTTCCCGATGATAATTTTCGAAAATTGCGTATATATCGCGAAAATGCTGTTCCATACGGTACTGCATGGAAGTTGCCGAAAATTTAAACCAGACGTTTTGATTGAATGGAATGGCGCCCATGCAAAGGTAACCAAATTTGTTACCAATTGTGCTCCCTTTGCGCGAGCGCGTAAGAGCTCCACTAAAAAAGTTTCTCAAGTCAAATTTTCCTTTAGTATGGTCAGAATGAAGTCATGATTCAACCTGACTGACTACTGGAAGCAAAAGCTTTGCTTTGACCTATTTATTATCCTGATATCAATTTAAACAAATTTCCATCAAATCTAAATGACCTAAATAATATACACTGCTTCACTGGCGCGTCGTTTATAGCGGTAAGTTCAAGCCCACAAAGTAAATCAAACAGGAAATAAATCAGACGTGCCGTTTTTGTGTTCACAGCTCAATACCGTAAACAAACAGTTTATATTTTGAAAATAAAGAAAGAAGGGCTTCAACATTTTCAAGTACCTTTCCATACATGAAACGGCAGCATACCGGTAACGAAAATTGTGAAACTGATTATGTGGGACACAATGAAGGTTGACAGGTTGACATGTCATCAGATTTGAACTGTATTTAAACTGTAAGATTTGAATCGTATCATCCTAGGAGTTTCTCTTTCCTCACAGGTCTGATAGCGTGGTATATATGCAGTGAGATCGCCGGTAGAACTTTTGAATTGTTCAAAAATAAATTATTACATCATGTGAAATAGAGACAACGCCGCAGAGCAAAATTAAAAATTTCACTTCGGTTCATCTTTAATTCTTCCATCACTTTCAGGCAATGCACAATGCAATGTCGAAGACAAAACAATAGCTCCTGCGACGACACTAGGCACTCTGCAACTGCTGTTTAAAAATGCGAGAGACGGTTTTATAAACCGCGTTATGAAAATAACGCAAGAACAATAGATGTAGGTATCTCGCGGGATGCATGTAACGAAGGTTTACGTTAATGAATAAATCAATCGAGCTTTTCCGCCTAAACGTAAAAATTTCCCAAATTTTGACTTTAAGAAATACTTCGTTCTCCAAACCTCTTTTTATTAACACACTCCGGGATCGCTGATGAAACTAACCCGATATACTTTAAGTAAACACCAAGAGAGGTTATCCTCTCTTGGTAAACACCCCAGCCAGTTCTAGAGGGGGAGGGTGTTTCCTTAGGAACTGGTTAGCTCAAATGACCACCAAGCTTTAATAATTATTCGATCTAAAAGAAATACATTTATAATTCGCAATCAGAACAAACACAAATCGTCTTAATCTAGTAGCTAAATTCAGAAAACTTCAATGTTGACTTACTTCTGTTGCGGGTCGTTACAACAATCGCACTTTACAGGTTAGCAAATACTTTTAACAGATTCTTTAGGTAAGCGGATTTATAGACAGACTGTAAATTATTTTCTTTCTCACTTCGATTCTACTGAAAAACTGGTTTGAAACACAATAGGCTAATACAATTCTTGTCATCAAATAAATCTATCCAAGAACAAACAGGCAACGTTTGTTTGATAAAAGAAACAGAGGGGAGATCTCTTGTACCTTGCATTTCCATTTCCACCGTTTTATTCCTCGGCTTCATACCCTTAGCCGGTACAAATAATATTTACTATTTTTCTAAAATTTTCCTTCTTCGCCCACCTCTCACCCCTTCATAATTCCCTCCTATCGTCCTCTTATTTCCCGCCCTCTGTACCCCTCTAACCCCTTAATCCTTCGAGCTACCCCATCACTGTCATCGTTTTCTAGGTCGTCGTTTTCTAGGTCGTTGTTTTCTAGGTCGTTGTTTTCTAGGTCGTCGTTTTCTAGGTCGTAGGTCTTCGTTTTCTAGGTCGTCGTTTTCTAGACACCCAAATCATTTTTCCGTGAATGAATTCATTAGTTCGTTAGCGACGGGAACGCTTGACCTGGTTTGACTGTAAAAGTGATGTTTTCGCTGCCGTAGCCGTCGTCGATGCTAAAACCCCCTAAAGCCGGAGAAGGGAACTGACCAGAAAACGGCTTGACTAACTTCAAATGGCGTTTTGCGACAAAACGTCCAGGGACAAATCAGGAGCACCCAACGTCAATTTTCGGAAAATATCTGTTCGGAAAAAAATAATAATAACAATCTTTTAATAGGATGCTCCATCACAAGAGTGGTTTACATAGAGGTCCTAATTACGAGATGTATATTATATAATACAATTAAAATATAAAAAGGTTAAGCTAAAATCGATATATATGATACAAAAAAAAAAAAAAAAAAAAAAAAAAAAAAAATTCAAGCTAAAATCGAGTTACAGAAATAATTAAAACATACACACTACAAGTACTCAATTATAAAAAGCAAAAAAAGACACTTCTTAAAAATTGGAAAACTTGCTGAGTTTCTTACAGTTCTCTCTAATTCATTAAAGTCTTTGAAACAGTGGTACCGCGAACGTTGTTTTCCCCAATTATATTTAATTTTGGGGAGCTTGATAGTATCGTTATTGCGCGTATTGTAGGAATGTATATCACTCTTTCTTACAATGTCCAAAGAATGATTAAGTTGGCCATTAATACACTTGTATGCATATATACATCGATGACATTTCCTACGTTCTTCAAGATTCAGCCATCTCAAGACAATCAATGCATCGGTGGATGAGGAGTGAGGTGATCTATCTAATATCAACTTAGCTGCTTTGTTTTGGAGAATTTGCAATTCCTTCATAAGTGAGACATTGTCCTTGTCACCCCAGACTAAATCAGCATAATCAAAAATAGGTAGTACTAAGCTATTATAAAAAAGTAACCGGGCATCATAAGGTAAATAATACTTAATCCTACGTAGAAGACCAAGGTTTTTATTAACCTTACATGAAATATACTCAATATGGTCGGACCATGTGAAAGTTGAAGACAACATAACTCCCAAATATTTAAAACTACTTACAGAATTTATATCAGTGTCAAAATAGATAACGTGAAAGAGGAAATACCAACAAGTTTCCTATTACTGCCTATAATCATGGATTTCGTCTTAGTAAGATTTAAAGTTAACTTATTTCCATGTAACCACTGGGCAACTTTCAAGAGATCATCATTCAGTGCCTCTTCTAACAGGTGTGGCTCTTTAGCAAAGTAGTACAGGACCGTGTCATCAGCATACAAAGTCACTTCGCAATTCTTTATAACCAGCGGAAGGTCATTAATATAAACCAAGAAGAGAAGCGGTCCTAGAATGCTCCCCTGTGGCACCCCAAAGGTCATCGGGAGAGGGTCAGACACAGCATCGCTACAGGCAGTCCGCTGTTTACGATGATTCAGGTAAGACTTGAACCACTGTAGAGTGCTGGGCGAGACATCGATAGCCGACAATTTAGATAGCAAGATCGTATGGTCAACGGTATCGAATGCCTTGGTCAGATCTAGGAACACTGCACCGCACAGTTCTCCACTCTCCATATGCAATAGGACCTCATCTGCAAAACTGGTGAGAGCCGATGTTGTAGACAGTTTGGGACGGAAGCCAAATTGTTTGCTTGAAAGGAGATTATTTGAATTCAGAAAGTCATAGAATTGGGAATGGACGACTTTTTCCAGAATTTTACTCATTGTTGGCAGAATAGAAATTGGGCGATAATTTGACGCATCTCTCCTATCTCCAGTTTTGAAAAGTGCAGCCACTTTCGAGCATTTCCATATTTCAGGAAAATTGCCAGTGCGAATAGAGAGATTCAGTAACTTGGTGATCGAGGGACAAATAGCACGCGCGCCACACTTTAAAAGTCTCGCACTGATGTTGTCCAAGCCAATAGCTTTATTTGTCTTTAGAGAAAGCAGATGCTTGAGTACTGTTTTCTCATCAACTTCGTCAAGCGAGAAAGACTGTAGCATCGTGGCCGATCTGACTGGGAACATAGCAGCAGCTGATATTTTATTTGCAAGACTTCTGCCAATGGATGAGAAATAACAGTTGAGCACGGATGCAATAGAGGCTGGGGTGGTGTGTTCAACACCATCAACTACGATACATTGTGGGCTCGAGGATTTAGTCTTGCGCGAAGACACCTCACCTCGGAAGACGATTTGAGATCTAGAATTTTCCGAACACTTGTAAAATTTCTTCCTTGCCTACCTCTCCTAGGATTTTCGACCATCAAAAAATGGTATAATTGCCCATTTTTAACGGATTTTTACACTAAAGAGATCACCTAGAATTTTCGGGAGCCTTTTTTCTGGCTGAAATTTTCGAAAAGGTAAGTTTTGATCCCTATAATTTTCGGATCACTAGACTTTCAGCTTGGAAAAACGAACAGATGAAAAATTTCTAGGGGATAAAAGTAGGCCTATATCTACCGTTTAAATACTAAAATACGTTTAACAATGCTATGTTTAAGTGGTTTGAACTATATTCTCGCTGGGTGCCCCTGACAAATTGGTTAAATTGATTTATTAATAAAATTCGAAGAAGCCTATAGGAAACACCATTAACCAAAATTTTTAGAAATTCATTTTTATTTCTGATTTTACTTGCAGATGGAACCTTCTTCGCAACTTTTGTCCAACCCGAATTCCATCGATAATCAGTCCTCTGTTATCAACAGCACAGCTTTAGCCATTACTTCTCTAGTTTACGTGTTCGCGCCAGCAGATTTCAGCATAAAACTCGTTCTTGTTGTACTTTTTGTAATTTTTGGAGTCATCGGATTGGTGGGCAACATCCTAATTCTTTATTTTCTTTCCAAGAAAAAGTCAGTTCCTTTTCTGCAGTCTTCTCCTTTCCTAAGAAACTTCAATCTTTACATGAAAAGTTTAGCTCTTTCAGAGATACTCGTAATTTCCATTGGAGGTGTTTTAGTTGGTATAGAACTAATGTATGATGTATTCCAAAATGGCTGGCCTTGTAAAATACGTCGATATATCAGCGGTACGTTTTACGTTATAAGAGCGAATAATTTAATTGTTATAAGCACCGAGAGGTTTCTTTCAACCCGTGATGTTCCTAAAACGTTCAGTGGTTCCACTGTCCGTAAATTAGTGTATACAGCGTGGCTTTCAGGTTTTTTTATGGGGTTGTTTCCAGCAGCAGCAGTAAATGGTGCAAGATACGATATTAATACTACACATTACACAATGGTCTGTAAACCCGATACCAGTTATCTACCTACCAGAGTAATTATGGTAGGCTTCGTACTTATACAGGTCGTCATACCAAGCATTGCTTTGATTTGTATGAACATCATCATAGCCAGAAGGATATGGAAAGGAAGCAAAAGAAGGATCGATATACAACGAGATAACGCCATTAAGGCGAGGATGAGATCACACCAAATCAAAAAAACTAGCTTAATTATAATTGTCACCATAGCTTCCGTTCTTTCTTATTCGACAATACTGTATTACACAGCCTTTGTTGCGGTAGATAAGCCATCGCTAGATTTCCAGGACGATTTTGTGATAAGACATATTAGTCGGGTGCTAGTTTTTTCCAGCAGTGCTATAAACTTCATCACATATCTGGTTCAGATGAAGGATTTCCGTGTATTTTTACTGAAACATTTTTGCGGCAAGGGTGTTGGAAATGCTCAAATTAATCCTAATGTAGAATAGCCGGGGAGCACATGGTTGCCATGTGGCTTACCCTGTCAGCGGCGAGGTAAAGATACATAGTATTAAACTGATAAAAAGTTTTAATTTAGAACTTTCAGTGTTAAAGAACTGCAGCTGATATATTGAAGAAGAATGAGCTTATTTAGTGCAAAATATTGCAACTACACATAACTAGGCAATTCAAAGTATTGGCTCAGAAAACGAAACATTCAGGTAGGCATACAATGTTTATATCTTCTCTTTTCTCCTTACATTTTTCTGAACTAGCCTGGGTCATACCTTAAAGTTGCGCCATATAAATCAACCTCGTTTAAAGATAAGAGGTCGCAATATCGTTTACATACTTGTACAGTGATTATGATTGCCAATAACTCAAACAAAGTATTAGGCGTTACAAAATGTTCCGTGAGGACTGCAAATGTAAATATACTTTCTATGCTCCACAAATCTCTCGTGCGGCCAATCTTAGAATATGCAGCACCAGTCTGGAGCCCTTATCTGGCGAAGGACATCCATTTACTTGAATGTGTACAGAGAAGCGTTGCGAATGACCCCAAACCAACGTAAACGAGAGATGTCTTAGAGGAGCGATGCCAGCGGCGTAACTGGCTTACTTTATCTTATCGTAGAACTTGTTTATCTTTAGTCGAATGTTACAAGATTGTCTTTGCTTATTATCATCTTAACTTTGAACATTTTTTTTAAATTCACTACTCCTTAATCTACAGGGGCAATCATTCTCATAAACTTTACGTCAAATCAACAAGACTAAATTGTCATAAACATTCCTTTTTTCATCAGAGTAGTCAACTGTGGAGTGATTTACCCAAAGACATAGTTGTAGCTGATAGTCTTCAATTATTTAAATCTAAGCTAAAACTAAATCTCAACGTTTAACTAAGAATTGCCTTTTACTATTATTGTAGTTGTTATTATGATATTTTTATCTTTTTATTTATTCACTTATTATTTTGGGGACTTTTAACATAGCGATAACCTCATAACTTCCCATTCAAGATGTCGTTTTTCAACTTTTAAACCTTGTATCTATTTTAATGCAGCTTGAACAAATTATGTATGTATGCATGTATGTAAAGTGAAAAATAAACTTATCTATTAACTGTTTGACACTGTTCAATTGATTATTTTCTTTTATAAGAATTTTCCACGTCCGAGAACAAGGCGCGGTGACCAAGGAGACCCCGGGTACCGGAATAAGCGACGCCGTGCTTATTAAATTTTTCACCCCCCAAATGCAGCGCTTATTTGAAGATGGTGCTTATTTGGGGTGGATCTTTCCGGGTAATCGGGGAGGCGCTTATTCGAGTAAATATGATATGGGTGAACCTATGAGATTTCAAGCTTATATTGAACTCAAGGCAGTTTAATTCAGTTTTTAAATACCCAGCTCTGATTGGCTAGAAAAAAACTCGGATTACGTTTTGAATTTAAAAAAATAACAAAATAATGATAAAAAATGGGTAGCATACATAGCTTTAATTTTTCAGGGCATTGGGAATTGGGAATTATGCAATGGTCCGACGAAACTCACTGCAATGATCTGCTTGAGTGACTACCAAACAGTAGCTTCCGAGTACACAAAACAACTTATGAATCAGACACATTTCAATTTCGCGTCTAACGCTCCTCTGACTTTCTTTTCTCGATCTTTTTTTAAATCACGGTATTGCTCTTCAAAAAATGAGAGTTAGAACAATGACCTTTGATATCAGTGCCGAAAGGGGTTCCCGTAAATTCGTAATGGCGGGAACCGTTTATGACTGAAGATTTTTGCAATCAAACCTCTTTAATTTAATGCCATGTTCACACTATAACGGATAGCCTTTCTTGGCGCCACGAAAAGCTCCCCGTTATAGTGTGAACACACCTATCCGATATTTGACTCTCCACTTTATAGATCGGCGCGGTGCATCTTCGTTCCGTCACAGAAATCGCGCCGCTACAACAGTGTTTATGTGTGAACAGAAGCTCAATTCGAGATGATTCTCGTGGCGGCGCAAAAGCTGTCCGATGTAGTATAAACATAGCCTAAATATAGGGAATTTAGCAACTCAGAATGCATAGCGAAGTGTCCGCGAGTCAGAGTTGAATGCATTTTTGACTGCGTTTTAGTGAGGCAAAATTAACTCTGAATATAAACACTCGCCGCTGGCACTAGCGATTTCGCGTGTGTAATTGTAAACCTGTTAAAAACGCAAATGGCGAGTGAAGGTTTTATGCTTGAAAACTTTCGTCGAACCTTTTCTCCCGACCAGACTGACTACCCCTGGATCTCATCCCAGGATGGTGAAGGTTTGGACAGTCAAATGTTTCTAACTCTATTCTTCGCCAGTGTCCACGCTAATCTCGTATCCAGATCTCCCAAAGCCAAGGGAAAGGAGATCTCACGTTTCAGATTATACTAAGAAACGATGAGACCTATGAAAGAACAAGCTTCGGTCTACACATGGCACCAGTTGCGACATCAGTTGTAGTGCTTTCTCCACAGGCTTTCCCAAAGCTTAATGGGGAGCAGGGAACAAGCGCGAAACGCGAGAGCTGGAGACAAACGAGAAGCGCATGACTGGGATGATACCGGGAACAAGTGAAAAGAGGGCAGGCATTTTTACTTAAAACGTGTTTGGATTCCTAACCGTTTACGCACATCGATAAATCCTGGGAGCAACGACAAAGGCTACGGCAAAGGCAATGATAAGGTCAAACGGAACGAGCCCAATAAGTAATTGAAAAACAACAAATTTTGTACGTGCAGCGCGCTTTTCGTTACAACCTGTACGAAGAGGACGTTAAATTTCCTTTTGCAACGTTGTTTTGAGGACAAACACAGGGGCAAATTCAATTTCTTCCCTGAGTCCGAACTTAGGTGCGATCCCCAAGACTTCATAGGGAAGTTCGCCTACATTTGCCATTTGGAGAGAGATGAAATAAACGCGAAAAAGTTAAAAAAGAAAAAACCCGTGCAATCATTTTGATAGCTAAAGACGTTTTCGTTGCCCTCTCCGTCATTGTTGCTAAGGCGCACTATATTCATGAAATTGACAGTTCCATTTTGGTTTACTGCAAACTCGTACTATCAAAGAAGGAAAAGCATCCAGATTCGTTGGACAAACTGTTTACACTACAAAACATGGCGAATTTACAAGACATCGGATTCACTTTAGATTTCGGATTCAAAATCTATAGACACCTTTTCAATTCGTATTCACCCACTGCATCTAATCAAAAACGACAAAACGAACCCAGTAACAAAATTACCAGGAAAAGTACGTAGTCTTAAATTGCATGTAAGACAGACGATTGACATGCATCAGTCAATGGACCCCAACACGCGACAAAGTATTTTAAAAGTTGCTAATGTCATTTCATATATGCAGAAAAGACTCTTAAGTTTCGGAGAATTGTTCGTACCTCTGAAAAAAATCCTGGCTACGCCCTTGACAGAATGCCTATTATTACCGTTTTATATATTGAGGGTTTTTGTTGAGTTTAGTTTTGTTTTGCTTTGCTTCATTTTTTTAGCCGTACTGGTCCAGTCCTGGTTTGGAGTTTCCCAAGTTATTAAAAAAGAAACTCTTACCTTGGAGTCATGACCTGTCTTGGTTAAAGGATGGTAGAAGTCCAGAAAGGTGTGAGAACCAAGATTAATCGTGGAAACCACTGGATAAAATAATGGTCCATCTGTATGAGGCTGAAAATGACAAAGGATCTGAAGGATTGCAGTATTTACTCAAAGAAGCGCCGCGGCGCTTATTAGATTTTTCACGCCTCAAATATGGCACTTATTCAAAGAATTGTACAAACTACGGTATTATAATTTTTCTATATTAGACTGACAGAATTCAATTCTCTTGGTTTTAATTATACCAGGACCGCAGTGCTTATTTTTTCATAATCCCAGAGTCAGTTGTACAGGATAGATGTACAGTCAACTCTCTTCAAGACGGACCCCTTTGGGACCGGCACGAAGTGTCCATCTCAGAGAGATGTCCGTCTTATAAAGAGTCAAATAAAGGGAGTAAGTAAAGGCAGGGACCAACTCTAGGTGTCCGTTTTACAGAGGTGTCCGTCTTATAGAGGTGTCCGTTAAGAGAGAGTCGTCTATAATGCAGTTCTGCTACTGTTTCTATGAAAGAAAACTAATGTTGTGACTGACAAAATGAACCCTCTGTAATTGTATCGCAAAGGGTCAACCCAGTTGAAGTGCAATAAGGTTTCTTTTTTGTTGTTGTTGTTTTAATGTAATATTTTGTGTTGGAGTGCATAATTTAGGATGAAAAACTAGCCTGCTTAGCATGGCGGTTTTGGCTGGGCGCGCAAACAAGGCAAGCTGGGGGCAGTGAAGACTGGGGCCGCCGCTCGTTCGCGCGCACTTTTGAGGCTTCCCCGCTCGGTAGGTTGCACAAAAAACTGCCATGCTACTCAGGCTAATGAAAAACCGGCACAGATGACAGGTAAATTCCATAAAACCCTTGCCCATGGGGAGGTGAAGATTTTAAAAAAGCACACATATACACTTTTTTCAACAGAAGTGTTTCTTCTCACCATTATTCCTTGACCTGGTTCATACTCATTTACTAATACATGATTTGGAGCAACATCGCTGAATACTGAAAGAGCCCCAACCTTGGCAGAGTATTTCTGTAGCCACTGAAAAACAAAAGATTTTATGTCATGATTTTTGCCCTTCTCAGGGTGCAAAGAAAATCATTTTTACAGCTTGCCATTCGGGCAAGCTGAAGCTAGCATTTACTAGCTCTGATGTCATTTCAACTAGCCCCAGACACTTTTTGACGAGCAGAATTGATTTTATAGTTCTTCTGTTATTCGAATTGCTCAAAAAACATCACTTGCCCTTCGGGCAAGTTAACAAAAGAATTCACTAGCCCTGAATATTAGCAAAATCCACTAGCCCCGGGCTATCCAACATTACTTTCTTTGCACACTGCTTCTCCTCCTAGTCCAATTTATTTAATTATAGTACAATGATCTATCACTCTAACTTTTAATTGGTAGACAAAATCCTATGATACAATTTCTTAAACGAATCACCTTTGACATAACTTTCGCCTAATACTATTCATTTTTTAGGATTTTTACAAAAGAAGATTTGAATTTATCGCGAAAGTTTTTGCCTAATGCCTACTGTTAGGATTGAAATTGGGGTAAATCATCCAAATCATCTCATACTAAGAAATTTAGACAAACATGTTATAATTATTATTACTTACTGGTGGAAGTTTTTCAAGAACCATTCCCTAAGAGGAAAAAGAATAAAATTATATGACTTAATTGTTAATTTATGGAAATGGTCAATTTGTGTTAACAGTACAACTGTGTTATCCCCGAAAATATTGGCACCCCTTTCCAATACAAATTATGTTGTTTTAAGTTGACCCCCACGTTTCTACAAATCAGGAAATAATTACTTTTAGTTTAGTACTTTCTTTTAAAATGTTAAAAAAGTTTACCTTGGGATGTGGTAAGCCACCTAAATAAGATAAAATTGAAGAACAATGACATCAGACTCAATTCATACATTGAAGTGTTTCACAAAACTAAAAATTAGCAACACTACTGATCTGAGTTGCATAGCGTAAACAGCCCCTTATAAGCCACCACTGTCCTATAAGCCCTTCCAGTTATAGGCCCATCTACCTACCAGCAAACAAAAAAAACTTTCCGATTAAAAAAAGCCCCCCGATATAAGCCCCCCTACAGCTTGTATTAATTAAAAATGAATTTTGATTTATTTAAAAAATACAAGCTTTAGGGCGGCTTATATGGGGGGGGTGGGGGGAGGCTTTTTTATAATCAGATGTATTATTTAATCATATGAATTTTTTAATTTATTATGACATTATGCAGCTTTATTAAAAACTAGTAAATTATGCAAAATGCACACTGCTATAGCTTGTTTCAATGCCATTTTTTTTATTTCCAGTTATAAACCCCTTAGTTCATAAGCCCTCCTAAACCCCCTTACAAAGATGTATAAGCCCACGGATTACAAGTATCAGTTTACAGTATTTTGATATGTTCCTTGTAAAATTATAGTAACTTTTCTGTTTGTTTGCAACTTACCCCAATTTTGAAGTCGCCTTCCTGAAAGTTTTGTCCACTTTGGCTTAGGAGCTCCATAAACCTAATTTTGACAAAGAAAAAAGTTATTAACCAGTGATTAATTACCAACATAAATAGAAATTATACCACACAGTATTATATAACTTACTATAGCACATGCTAAGCCATTTATCATTAATTTTTTTAATGATATATTAGTCTTTAAAACAAATTTTTGTCACATTTTAATTAATCTTGTATATAAAAAGGCAACAATTCCCAGGCAAGATGCAGTCTAGACAAAAGCTGAGGATTCTTCATGTCACACGTTCTTGGGCCAGGCATTCATACAAAAACCCCGCGGTGGGGCTCAAAAATAGGGTGCAAATGCCCCACCCTGGGACAACACCAAAATTGGTTTTCCAGTAAATTAGCTGCAAATACCATATTCATGTGATATCCGTCTGTCAGTAATAATCTGATCAAAATACATAAAGCACCCTATGCAAATTGCTCAGCCACCAGTTATAATCACCAATCACCAGCAATTTCTTAGACAGATGCAAAAAATTCTGTGGGATAGTCATAGGGCAAAGTGATGGAGTGAAAACCACACATATCTCTTAAAAGCATAATTATTAAAAATATTAGCCTGTTGAGCAATTCACAGACCCTCTATTTTCTCTCCAAAGTCCGTCGACCGCGAGTGATAAAATATAAACTGCAGGAGATTTATTGACCACCAGCACAGTACAAGGGGTAGTTGTGGGGGAAGAAGAAAATAGACGGTCTGTAGGTACATCTTTGGGAGCAACTGAAACTTGCTTTTCCCAGGAAAAGCAAATTACCATTGGCTGAATGGTGATTTTCCTGTCATCATCATGTCAATGACTCATCACGCTTGCATCATGTGAGCAGATTGAGGATTTGTCATTGTCCAGAAGCGCTAACCGCGACACTTTCTATTGTAATTCACATTGAAAGTGCCGCTGACTTGTGAACTTAGGATGGAGTCACACTACAAGCTTGTGTTGCATTGACCATGTTGATCATAATTATCTTTTGTATCGGAGTGTAGACTATGATGACTGTTTGGCACAATTTTCAAGCAAAGAAAAAGAAGAGGAGCGCCAGGCTGTTTTGGGTTTACTGGAGCAAAAGGATGTTGAGACAGTTCTTCCCACGGGATTTGCAAAAAGTTTAATTTAGCAGTTGTTTGCGGTAATGACACACAAATGAAAAGGAAAGAATGTGTTATTTCTCACCTCCACTGGTGACACAATTCAGAAGTATTTGTCAATGTTAGTGGCTTTCCCTGGACAAATCAAATGGTGAATTCTCGATAGTATATAAAAAATGAGTGCTGTGCTATTGCTTAGGGTCTATAAGCACGATTTCGGCTTGTAACTATAGTTCAACTCCACGAGGTTTGTTTAGATATTCCAGATGCGCTTCTCACCACCTGTTTCATGTGCTTGTCTTGTGACATGCATATCAGCCAAACCAGCTAAGAAATGGTATGAAATGCACATGTGCACATGAGCTGACTGCATGTGTCCCTTTAACCACTTCCAGAAGAATTGACAAATGCCCCACCCCTGGGCAGAGGTTTTCTGACAAATTCCCCGTCGCATCAGGACCTGAAAAATGCCTCGGAAGGGGGGGGGGGATGGACATGCTTGCCATTGACTGAGCTATCAACTTGCCGATAACCATGCACTACTGAAGATGAACTTTATAACATCGATGATGGCAAGGATGTTTTAGCTTGTTTTTAACCTAGGGATTATTTTGAATGAATAATAAAAGAATTATTGAATTCGGCTTTCATATCATCTGAAGAATTATGGAGATCTCAGAGGGTGTTATCTGCCGAGGCTGTTATATTCATTCAATAATTGTTAATCAAGCTTATTTAAATACATTTTCAGGGTTTGAAACATCCTCGGAGACCCAGGGGCAGATAGTGGGGACGAGGGAAAGTCTAAACAGCAGAAAAATATGGCACGAAGAAAGGTAAAGAAACGGCGAGAAGAGCCCCTGGGGACAATGTCTTACCAGACCAGTTCCAAACGGTCGCCGCCATTCTGACTTCTGATTGGTGCCAGAAAACTTTTGTGTTTTTCTGCCCAATCAGAGGGCAGAATGGCGGCGACCATTTGGAACTGGTCTGGTAAGACATTGTCCCCAGGGGCTCTTCTTGCTGTTCTTTACTTTTCTTCGTGCCATATTTTTCTGCCGTTTAGACTTTCCCTCGCCCCCACTATCTGCCACTGGGTTTCCGAAGATGGGTGTGAAAATGACTGAGGGGTCATTTTGTCCCCTCCAGCGTTTAGAAAAAGACCTGAAAAAATTAGAAAATTTTCAGCACAGTGAATTGTTCTCAAGCAGAGCACAAATTGTTCAAAACAAAGCCTGCAAAATGTGGAAAATTGCGGCCAAATTATCAAAGTTTCCACTGGAATTTTTGCTTGAAGCATGTCAACAACTAAATATATAATGATCAAAACTGAATTGTTAACAGTTACTACTTGGTGATCTGCAAAGAAATGTTGCAACAAGAGCAAATATTATAAATTGATAATGGCATAACAAATTTGTTGGTCTTGCTCTTTTGCAAATAGTCACTTTCTTATATTTAGTGGTCATGATCAGCTGCTGGTTGTAACTTGTTGCTATCGCTATGTCATTATATGTCTACAATTACAGTTCACTTTGAAATTTTCTCTATGGTTTAACGACCCTCTGAAATGAAAAATGTGCCTCAAAAATTGACCCAAAGTAGTCAAATCCTCGCTCAAACCCTGCATTTTTATTATCATTTCTAGTGAATCATGGGCCTGATTACGTCTAACTATGAATGGTTCCCCAATTCAGTCAATTAAAAAAAGCAAAAACAAAAAGCAAACAATCTAAACAAACAAACAAACAAACGAAAACAAATGACCTCAGAGATTGAGCTTACATACGTGATCTAGGAGATAACTTTCTTCTTCGACTGAAATGAAATCGGGAATGTAGAACGCTTTCGGTGGAGCCTGAAAAAAATATGCATTTAAGTGAATATCACAGGCCATGAAATGGAATAATAATAATAATAATAATCAGCTGTATCAGAAACAATTTACCTTTTTTATAATAAATTTTTCCAAATCAACTTCGTCGGCCATATTGGTTTTATTTCAGTTCCAGTCTTCCCGCGACAAAATGTGTAAATCTCGGTCAAGTCATGTGATTATGTTTATGAATTATCCGGAAAATTATTTTTTCTTTGTTATTGATGTTCTAAAGCTAACCAAACCTACAAGAAAAACAATATCAACGACACCAATGATAGAGGAAATTAAAAGAAAGAAAGGGATTGGAAAAAAGTGTGCGCCAGCCGGGAGTCGAACCCGGGTCAACGGCTTGGGAAGCCGCCATGATAACCGTTACACCACTAGCGCCCACGCCCTTTACTTGGGTGAAATTTTAATTATTAAATTGCTCATGCCACTGGGTAAGAGCTTCTTTCTACTATATGGATTTTTGTTTCCAGAAGTCGTAGGAGACGATAGTGTCAGTGTATAGACCTCCTTACACTCCTCAAATGTTTCCATTCGGCGCAGTCACCCGAACGTCCCAAAAGCTACGGACTCATCAGTCATGATCAGTCTCCAGGTCTAGATGTTCGGGAACGCTGCAAAACCAGCGAGCTACAAAATTTTAAGTTCTCAACTGGACGTGAAGTCCTTACCGTATTGGAAATTTTTTTCTTGCTGGTAATCTGATAAATAAGTAGAAATAGGTATATCGCAATAACCCTCGCGAACTACTTGTTTTCTTTCATCTACCTCTGTTTTCCCGTTCCCTTAAAAGTTTACTTCAAGTTCAAGAGGACATTCTAAAAAGTACTGTTTATTTAACATATTTTGGCAAGAGATTTTACTCTTTCTGCTTCCCCCTCCTTCGGGAAATCGATCGGTTCCTGCCCCCGGATGATAGTGATACTTATCTCATCATCCCTCTTTCCCAGCCACACTCCGCCCCCACGCTACCCCCCCCCCATTCTTCAACTGCCGTGTCAATATCAACAACACCAGTTTGCTTCTCCAGTCCTTACCGAATCCTATTAAAATGTTATTTCGCGGTTTTCAATCTGATAAAGTAGAAAACCACATTTGACAGCTCTCAACAATTGGCTTTATGTGAATAAGACCTAAACACTTACTCAATTGTTGTTAGCCAATCAGCGAGGACGATTTGCGACAATCCCTTCAAATGCTGTGAAACCAGAACAGTAGAATTATGAATTCCTCAATCATCAAAGAGTTTACGGAGTACTTCAGTGGTGGACAGATTTTACTCAAGTTTAAAACCAATTTCGAAGCAAACCTAAGAAACAGTTGACCCGCAGTCGCTGGTAAGTATAACCATTTGCCTGAAGAGTGATCAACATACTTATCGCGTGCGTGTAGATTTGTCAACACGCAAGCGGCAACGGTAAAAATAGGCAAAGGTAGCCGAAGTTTTGATTATCCTCTATCGCTTTTGCCACCAGTTTACAAGAAACATTTGGAAAGCTCACGCTGAATAAATCTTCATCAAACACATGATGTAATATTATTAAGTCGAGAAGGAGTTTTAAATACGTCTTATTAGTACTTTTCAGAACAGGAGTGTTACTGTTCGAAACATTTTTGTTATGGCAACAAACTCAATCAAGTCGTTCAGAATTTTGAATGTCTAGCAAAAGCATGGAAGTCATATTGTATTTACGAGAGCTTTCGTTTAATGTTACTGATTATATCAGCTTTTTGTATTTCTCTTGTCTTTTTTTAAAGTAATATTCACTGTCTAAAGTACGTTGAAGTGTATCGAAATATCTCATAACATATTCGTGTCAGATAAAGAAGAAACTCTGCATGAGCCAAAAGTCAGCTTGTTCAAATAGTCCCTACCGAGAGTGGTGTAAAACGTCGATCTAAGAAAGTTACGGTGTCGATCAGGATTTTGTTAGTTTTGTTTTGTTTTTGTTTCATCGTTCAGGCTCAAACATTTTCGATCACCTCGAGGAAAAAAACAAAAATTCCCTGGCGTGGCAGCGATCGCAAGCATACCAGAGGTAAAGCAGTTTTCACGAGGTTACACACTAAAACAAAAACAAAAAATGATGATGTTTATACATGGAGTCTTGTTGTTACCGTAAAACAAATTTAAACTTTTTGTTCTTAATTTTGTTAAAACAAATGATCGGTAAAATAAATTAAGGTATTCTTAAGCAAGAAAAGCGGTAAAAGATAGTTTACATCAAGACCAAAGCAAAAGTAATTCAGTTTTCAGTTTGTTTTTTTTATAAAGGACGGCGGATAGGCTACATTATTTTTCATTCCTGAGAGCGTGAAAAAAGCTTACAGTTTGTGCGCAATTTATGCACTTACAACTACGTAAGAATAATAATGAGCCAGAAATTGTTGATATTCATTGTTAGAGGCCCGAAATCTTTGTGTAGTAGTTTCAAAATTGAACTTCCTGAATTGAAAGAAGTCATTGGTACTCTGCGCAATGCTACGTCATAAGTATTCTTTCAGTAGACAAGCCATGACAAGTTTTGTTCAATGACTTTTTGTCGACACCAAGAAGTCTCTTGAGCTATTACTAACATCCACAGACTTCATAGACAGAACTCTTTGAGTTTCGTTTATAGATAACGCTTTAAAGTGTAAAATCCGGCAGTACAGAGGAAGGACTTCTTTTGAACGACTTCTAGTTGTTTAAAGGAGCAGTGAACTGTCATTAATTCCATAAAAGTACGCGTTATTGTTTGTTCAAAAAGCAAACATTGAATATGACTTAAACATCTGCTGCCTTAGTTGCCGCTTAATTACAAAAAAAAAGAAGTCAGCAAAATCCTCTAAAAGAATATAACAGCGAAACTCGAGACTCGAAAAGAAAAGGAAAGTCCGACGGATCTTGAGTTTGTCAGCAATAATTGATGGCAAAATAATAACTGAAAACTTATGACAACTGTTTTTCTTCTAGAGGGCCTGAAAAACTCTTCAACATGAAATTTTTCTGGTACTGGATAAGGTTTCAGCGGAAATCATGAGGACCACGGATTTGCACAAGGATGAACTTCGACTTAAAGCGCAAAGTATTTACAATGTGTATTCCTCTTTCCGAAAAAACCAGAAGGAGGCAGAGAGCTTTTACAGCTACGGCTGCAGTAAAGACAGGTTTAAAACTGATAAAGAGAGGCAGTTTTTGGTGAGAGAGCGACCTCTGTTATTGCCGCCATTGGAGACAAGTGCGCTTTCAGGGCAAACTTCGAAACAAGTCAATAAATTTGCTCCAGTCGCGAAAGAAAAAACGTCTAGAGTTCTTCCAAGACATCTGCCTAAAATTGAAACAAGGACAACAGAATTGAAGAAAGAACCAAAAAATTATGATATAGTTTCCAGAAGGTTAGAAAAACCAGAGAAAACCATGAACGAAAAACTTTCGCCTTTGACGACTAGAACACTGAAGCCAATGCCGCGTGCTGCCTTGACGTCTTCAGCTACATTGCGAGGTTTAAAGAGATTGAAATCAGAAGAGAAAGACATTTTCCGGTTTCGCTTTTCTAATTATAATGTCAGAGACATTAATGTCTCATCCCTAAATGAATTTAGTTGCTCTAGGGTCGGCCGCCCCAAAAAAGCGGCACATGGTACGACCGGAAGGACTAAACCGTCTTATATCAATCACTTCCTGTAACTGCGCGCTTGCTCTCGTAGTTGTTCCGAAGTCCTTAATTACAGGACTGGGAAAAAGAACACAACTATAAAGAAATTTCTGGCACTTAAGGTCACACGAACGTCAAATTCTGGAAACTAGCTCATTACGTCAAAACAGACTCCTATTCAAAATGATTTATTAACTGCAGGGAGCGCTCAACAAACTTCAAAATGAACATCGAACTGTTTTATTTTCTCTATTGAAATGACACACAATGCTTTATTTGGGTGGGGGCTGAGTGGCACGTAATTGTCCAGCCCGGGGGGGTACTCCCTTATATAATATAAGTCATTGATGATAGCAGGAGCCCATCATATAGGTATGTGCCGCCCCAAACTGGTTTTTGTGCCGTTCTGATCTGAAAACTAGTACAGATTTTGCCCATTTTGGTCTGGAATTAGGTGTGGTTTACGAAGGAACTACGGCCAGCGTGTATCAATTCCAAATAAATAAGAAAGAAAGAGTAATATGCGAATTCGAAATGGATTTTAAGAAATCGTTTTGTTGCGGTATTAATCTGACATGATGACACGATTTCTGTTTTATGTAAACATGTAATACTATACTGCGTTTTGTGACCGCCTCCAGGTCTGAAAACCGGTTTGGAAATTAAATTTTTTCAGGGGCACCCAACGACAATTTTCGGAAGAATATCTGTTCGGAAGACGATTTGAGATCTAGAATTTTCGAAACATTTGTTGTAAAATTTCTTGCTTGCCTTCTTCTCCTAAGATTTTCGAACATCTAAAAAATGGTATAATTGCCCATTTTTAACGGATTTTTACCCTAAAAAGGTGACCTAGAATTTTCGGGAGCCTTTTTTCTGGCTGAAATTTTCGAAAAGGTAAGCTTTGATCCCTATAATTTTCTGAGCACTAGACTTTCAGCTAGGAAATCCGAACAGATTAAAAATTTTTAGGGGATAAAAATATGCCTGTATCTACTGTTTAAATACTAAAATACGTTTAACAATGCTATGTTTAAGTGGTTTTGAACTATATTCAGTTCTCGTTGGGTGACCCTGTTTTTTTGATCTGAAATTGGGTCAGGAGCTGAAGAACCGGGCGGCCACCCCTACCATGAATTCCCAGGAGTTCCTACCCCCGGGTAATTCAGATAGCGACAAAACGTAAAAACGTAACCTATGAACCTTTTCTCTCGTGGATCATTGGGCGAAAGCGCCGGTTAGCCTGCGAAATGATGTACACTAAATGGAATCTTCTGCCCGCTGAGTTACGCACAAGTCACATCTCTCTAGCCTTATTTAAGCGTTCACTATTTCAAGATTATTACAAGGCTCTGGACCCGTACGACGGCATAGACAACATCAGAACCTGGAGAACAATCGGTCCCGGGTGCAACATAGCGAGGACTCTCCTGTGCCAGGAGGCACATGATTCTAGCAATTTGAACTTCTGTTTTGTTTCCTTTTGATTTTTCTTGTTGACATATCAGTAGCTTTAGTTATTAAGTTTTATTATTATTATTATTATTATTAATGAGGCGATCCACTGTAATTGGTTAGGCCGGTAGTGGTCTCCCTGCCTAATAATTTTTATGTATTCACGTATGTAGATTGTATTCTAGTTAGGCGAAGCTAAATAAATAAATAAATTGGTCTTTTTTCACATATGCTCGCTGTAAAGACAAAAGACCTGTCAGTCCAAAATACCTTCACATAGTATATGATATCTCGCTGTTTTTACTTAGTATACGCAACAGCCTGTCGGCAGCACGTTTTCTTCTCTGCGAGCGCCGTTCCGTCATCAAAACCTTATTCAGTGGGCCAATAATTAAGCGCCAACATGCGCTCAATAAGTGCGCGCACTGACATGAATGCATAGAGATTTTATAAATAATTTTTATTTAAATTCTACAAACATTTTTGGCACTTTATTAAATTATTAAGTTAAGATGCGTGATTTGAGCGTAGCACACACTAATCATAATTCCCACAACCGGCTTCTAGAATTGTTCTTTTGTCTTTTCTACTTTGATATCGGGTGCAAAAATTGGCGAATTTGCATATCACCTTCGACACAATAAGTAAACAGGACGTTAACACTATAGCCACATAGAAATTTGATTGGAAAAGGAAAGCGGAGGTAGACGTAAAGGCAATCATCAAAAACATAGATCACTTCAGCTATTTTTTCTTGTGTTTAGCTGAATTTAGCTGAATTTGTGTTAGTTCTATTTAAATTCACGGTACCATTGGTCGTTATGCATACGCATAAATATACTAGCTGGCTCCTATCACTATAATTGCTGTCCTGCATAGAAAGACACTACACTTTATTGGCCTCACAGTCCGATCAAGTTATCTAATTAGTTGCACTGAATGCAACGACTGCAGTCTGTTGTCAAGCTTATCTTGATCGCGAAAGCATTGGTGTTCCTGGTACGCTTTGTTCATCCCAGCCAGCATTAGGAAGATAAACATGTATTGAAAGCTTTCGACCACTCTCGTCCTCTCCCAACTGGTCTTTTTCTTCTGGGCTTTGGCAGCGGCCCTTGTGAACAACATGTCGAGCCCATGGTATTGGCAAGCTTGGCGTTTTTCTGTCCAGAATTGTACTTTGGTTTCCCAATCTAAATCTCGCGCGAAACTTTTGTAAAAGGTGCAAGCCTTCCTCGTCGGAATTACAAAATATAGAATCTCTAGACTTAAGTTCCACCCGCCACTCTTTCTCCAACAAGTTAAGTCCTTCGGGGTTTATTTGAAAGCGTACCGGCTTAGATTTGCCGCCAAGAAGCAAAAAGATTTCTTCTTGTTCTCCACGTGTTTGCGAATGTTTGCTATTGTTTGCTGCGAGAACTCTATGGAAGTAGCTCCTGCTGAACCCGGGCTCTCGTCCGTTCATAGAAATTGTAGCTAGATCTTCGTACTTTCCTATCTCGTTCCGTCGGCCTTTCATTTTCTTTAAGCAAGAATACAGTTTGTTTAAAGAAACAGCGTGCGAACTATTCGCAGTGCTCGAAATTGTTGCTCTGTTGCTAACGACCTGCTCGTCGCGAGTCAAGTTCTCTTTGGATACTTCCTCTTGTATGCTTCCACGTTTCGACGGATTTTGCTGCGATTCAGCCAAACTCATTCTTTGTCCTGTACATCGCATGCCAGCTAGGGGATACAGATCAACAGATTCCAGTCCCGTGCTGGTTAATCGAGTTTGTATTGACCGGTGCAAATCAACCAATTGGTTTTTGTTCATCTCAGCACTGACCCCGATTGGCTTTTCAAGCTTCTCTGTTGCTGCTGTCGTTGTTTGTTTTATCTTAGCGTTCCCTTGCTCTACATACAGCTTATTGTTGGCAGGATTGCGTATAGAAGACAGGCTGTCGGTTTTTCCTATAGAACGCACTTTTATCGTATCGTCCAATACTGCACTCAATTGTTGGCAATCTGTGTTAGTATTGTTATCATCTTCGGGGTGACGAAAGGCCGGTTTAGCATAATTCCGTAGATACGGCGGCACCCGAAACTGGCCTTTGGGAAATACGTCCTCTCCTCGGAAAAAAGCAAAACTCATTTTCTGGGAAGACACTGCACTATCATTGGACACTCATAATCATTGCCATACGTACGACACCACCCTCAAAGATCTACCTGATCTGTGTGAAGGTTTACTGTTAGGTTTATGTTAGAGCGCGTACAATTTTTGTAATGCAAACACTGTCCTAACACTAGTGTACTTATATTAGACAATCAATGCGTCTCATAGTATTTACTTTAATCCCTTATTTCAACGCATTGACAGTAAGAACAATTAACATTTGGGCTCCACTTGTCTTCACAAAGAAATTAAATCAAATAAACTGACTCTGTTTCATTACCATGATAATGATTGCCAAGTTATTACAGACTGGGGTCTTTCTGAATGGCCGCTTTAAGAAAAACAAGCACTGCATAATAAAATAAAACAACAGTTTTAGATGGTTTAATGTCACGAACGAAGAGATTTATAGGCACAATTATCATTTGTGACTCAACTAGTGGTGTTCAGGACTCCGAGCATTTGCGATGACCTACAATTCAATTTCAGTGTAGCCTTTTCGTCATTTGTGATCAGAATGTCAACTGACTAAACGAAACTTGATTAACTTCCATCCATGTTTATACGGTAAAGAAGTAATATTTACCTTTTCCTTAATTTTTGAAGGTAAATATTTACGTCTTTTATTTCCTTCACGACCCCGCATTGGAGTGGGCGAGATAAGCAAAATTTGATTAAAATGGTCAACGTTGGCCTGAGAAAACAGCTGTTTCTTCTTAGAGATGGCTGTTTAATTTTGGCAGGCTAGGTCAACGTCATCGACGCCATCAAGAAGAATTAAGGAACTGTTACGCAGCGAAACCGAAAAGGGGCAACCATGATTGGAATCCGAAACACTGTTTTCTTTAAGAAATGAAACCGTTACTGGCACCTTACTTCAGATAGCCAACTATGCAAAAATGATATTCTAGTTTCAAAATGGTGCATTTTCAGTGAATCGTCTTTTGAAAATCATGTACCTGAAAAAGGAAATGTAAGCAAATGAAAGTCTTAATCATAAATATTAGAAACAAAGAAAAACTGAAATCTTTCAAGGCATGAACGAATAAAAGCGACATTTGCCTTAGGATCAGTAGATCTCTGAAAAGTGCATGATGGGTAAGGTGTGGGAGTGATTCTCTTTTGGTTTTGTCAACTGACTTGATAAAAGTGACTCCTCCTCAATAGCTCACCCCTCGGGCGCTAGCTCTTTATCACATAAACTGCGAACCGCAGCCGTATTTCCGGTCGTCGCTTCGAGTGGCAAACATGTCGCGAGCTATGATATGTGCAACCTCCTTCCCAGGGCCCTCTTCTTCTCCTCTCGCTCCGGGGGAGGAAAAGGAGAGGACCTGAGAGCGAGGTTGAGGTAAGTGGGAAGAGAAATCCAACATTGGGTTTGTAGTGTGTGTGTGGTCAATGGTAAAATAAATGACGCTACATTATACGTCCCCGTACATCACTTAAGGTGACTCGACCCAGTTTTTTTGGGGGGGTACCATCCTACTTTGAAGCTCTCTGGTATCCCCACCTTTACTTTTATCGTAAGTCTAACACATAGAATGGATAACATATAGATCAATCTACAATATAACATAAAATTTTTGGCGATCGGAGTAAATGTCACGTGGTTATAATGGGACGCCCCTTTGAGGACTGAGTCGAAAATCTGCTGTTGCCGGCATTTTTGCGTGAAAATCTCTCGGCTACACATAGTGCGGATTAGTGCCTTGCGCTGAACAGAGTTTCACCAGCAGTTTCACCAAAATCACAAAGACCCAATTCGAGAAATTCAGCGGTTTCCAAATTTAGGTCATAATTTATGCGAAAATGATAAGCAAACTTTACACGATTATATCTAATAAACTATGAGATTCATCCCTTTATTTTGGGCATCCTTATAACAGATGGGTCCTTGCAAGTCAGCAAAACGCTTTAGGGCCTTGTAAATGCGCGCGATTTCGAGCAAAGCAAACATATAGAAATTATAGTTTTCGCTATTTGTTGACGTTTGTCAGCGTTTAAGAGAGCTTCTCACGAAAAAATCATTTTCTCAAAAATTCGTAGTTTTTTTTCCTTCAAATTTTTTCAGGGCCACAATTGATGAACTAACTACTCGGACTCTGAATTTCATGGTCATTGAAAAACTGTGACATTATCTTCTATAAGCCCAAACTTGAGTAAACATTGAAGATTTTTAGCGTTTTGGCTGACTTTGTGCTTTGGGAGTTGTCTATTGTTTCTAGTCTGTCATTATACAGCATTCTTGTTCAGCACGCGTGCAATGACCGCGCTTGGCTGACTTCCGAATGCTCACCGAGATATGCCTATCATTTTCACATAAATTATGACCTAAATTTGGAAACCGCTGAATTTCTCGAATTGGGTCTTTGCGATTTTGGTGAAACTGTTCAGCGCAAGGCACTAATCCGCACTATGTGTAGCCAAGAGATTTTCACGCAAAAATGCCGGCAACAGCAGATTATCGACTCAGACCTCAAAGGGGCGTGCCATTATAACCACGTGACATTTACTTCGATCGCCAAAAAATTTTATGTTATATTGTAGATTGATCTATATGTCATCCATTCTATGGGTTAGACTTAAGATAAAAGTAAAGGTGGGGATACCAGAGAGCTTCAAAGTAGGATGGTACCCCCCAAAAAAACTGGGTCGAGTCACCTTAAGTATTAAAACATGGGTTTGTTATGAGCGTTCATTCTCGTTGGCTCACAAACCTGGGTTTACATTATCAATTGTTTTGTCCCGGCAATGCGCCACAGTTGTTGATCGTGTGAAGCACTGCTTTTAACTTATTTTGCGCCATACTTAACTATGTCCACCATCAGTGTGCTAAAGAGATAATTTAATGAGCACAAGTTACAAATCAATTGTTTTCATTTTTCTCGCGTATTTTGTCCTACCATCCTTTTCCAAAATGTCTTTATAAATTACATGTAAAATCTAACCATACTTTTCGCGAGTCTTTCTTCTTGTCCTAACTACTACAACAACATTTCGTAAAACTGTATTTACCAAATTTATCTTCCATTGTAAATAGAGCGTTTATGTTAAGCGAATAAATAATGTAAATAGTTTGTCTCTGAAACCTCTCTGCATTTCTTGTAAGGTATCTCTAGTAAGTATTAATTTTTTCTCGTTGTTTTTTAATATTTTCCTCTACGTCAAAGCTCAGTTCAGTTGACAACTAATCTATGTTGGGCTATCTTCGTCAGGAAGTGTGAAGTGACAATTACGTATGCGCAAATCTGTTAAAATACGAATGAAAACGCGTTTTGCGTCGGTTGTTGTTCTATCCGTATCAACTAGATTTGTCCGGTTCGGGACCATAAAACCCTTCATACGCCGAACACTCCTTCACGGTGACAGTTCCTCTCTCTGTAGTCACATCGGTGATTATCATGCTGTTAGCCAAGAATTCGAACCGGGAATAACGCGATATCAACGGACTCTTTTTCACTTCTGCGGGGGCTCCAATCGGAGTCTCCTGTCTTGAATAGGTCGGGGGGTTCATCGAACTTGAAGGAAGATTGTCAGTGCTTGTTTTCGTCTGCTTGTCAATGTCGTTTGTTGCAGTTTTTTCGCTGGCATGTGGTCCCTCCAAATCGCATTTGTTCGTATTTAAGAACTGAGCTGAATTAGCGGGTATGCTGATCTTTGTTTCTTCTGCAGTAGCTGAAGCAGTTATCCCTATTTCCGTATCAACGTTATCCGCTGAAACAGGGACATCGTGGTCGCTTTCACTCTTCATCTCAACCGATGCAGGTACTTCAACACTTTCCTTCACTACTCCTGGCTCATCCGTGCCGAGAGCTACTTCAGATTCAGTTAAGGGCTGTGGCACATTCTCGTTGACACTCTCGTCCACCTTCGGAACCGTTCGTTTTCTCCGACGACGCTTTCGTTTCACAGGCGGCGGGAGAACTTCTTGCGATGAACCATCCATTTCGCAGTCACCCCCGCGATCACTGACATGTTCAACGTCCACTGAAGGCTCGCCAACTTCGGCTGGCTAGATATTTAAGAACAGAGAAATAAAAAATTTTAAAATTTAAGCATGCAATTTGCACTTGGAATCAATGGAATATCCAGAATCCTCAAGTGATTTGCAGTCCATGATTTCGCCTAGACGCATTTCAATTCCCTTCCCTACTTGGTTAATTCGCCTCCTACGTCTTTGTATTTATTATATACATACTGAGAAATACTCACCAAAAAGCTATGTCGTAAATTTTCGTTCTCAAATTAGTTATAGCCAATCAGAGGAGCGAACGATGGTTTTTACACGTGAAAAAAACGATACGTCCAATCAGAATCGCGAACGATGTTTTTTCACGTGTGAGAAAAATGATACGTCCAATCAGAAGCCACAGAAGTGTGCGCGAGTTTCGCGCCAAAATTCCCGCCTTTTATTGCAGCTTGCAGCGCCGCTTCGCACACATTTATCAACGAGAAAAGTTTTACTCAAGGAGTTTTTCTCGCTAAAAAAGTGAAAAACATTTCGGAAATGGAGTGGAATAGTTTCGTTTGTTTCACTGTCGATAAAAAAATACAGTAGAGAGCCGGCGAAACAACAGCGGAAAGGGATAAACAGAACGAGACGTAAGCTTTTGTTGTGCTTTTTGTCGGAGCTACTTTGCCTTTCATTTAAGCTTAAGCTTATATTGAAACCGGCCATTTTACTTAAATTCACTCATTTTCAATTGTGCATTGAGAACAAACAGTTAAGATTACTTATAGTTCTTGGATTAAACCTCATACCTCACCGTCATTTATGTTTTTAACAAACGTTTTTACTAAAAAGCTGATACTTCGTTTTCGTTGTCATTTTGCGGTAAGTGTGTAGCGGCAAATTTTAGCATTTTTGAAAGATTTAAAATAAAAAGGCCCGCAAAATGATGAATGACTCAGTATGTATATAATAAACACAATACCACATGGAAAGTGCTTTGTACGGTATTTACGCACTCGTTGTTTTTGTATCAGAAATCTTACTCGTTCGCTGCGCTCACTCGTTCGATTTCTGATACGTCAACAACTCGTGCGTAAATACCGTACGCCAGCACTTTCCATGAAGTATTCTCTATTTCTTTTCGGTACACGTACAAGATCAAAAGAAATAGGAAAGACTAAGACAGCATCGTCCGCTAGTAACAAAAAAAATTGTAAGTAGTTTGTGAGGTTATCGCTTTGACTTAACTCGTCCTCAGACCTCTCGCGCTCCTAGGTATCGGCGTTTAAAACAAACGACTGAGGACAAGGCTGGGTTTCATAAGCCTGAGTACATCAGCCTTTTGCTGACTACTCATTGCCTTATCAGACTTAAAGAATTTCATCCACAAGACTCAAAAATTAGAATTACCTTGTACAGCACAATAAACAGCACCAAAGAAAAGTAGTGCTCGGTAGTTTTGACTAGTATGGTCACACTTAAGAAATTTTGGGATTTTATCTCTCTTTTGTGCATTCAAAAGTAAGAACATCCTTGTACTGCAAAGTAAACTGTGCCTCACAGGGAAACAATGTGCAGTAACCCATACAAGAATTATCGTCACACTTAGCATCTCCATGATGGCAAATGTCTTAGAAATGAGAAGCTCTAAGTTCAGTTATAGGGCTGGCTTACTATAATAACACAAAGCCCAGCCTAAAAGAAAAATGATTTATTGCAGATCTGAACATGTCCAAAAAAGGTTTTCCGATGTTTATGTTCACACGAGCGTCCAGAAACTATACTTCTCACTTCCAGACCAAGTTTAAGCGAGATAATGGAACTTGGTAGATCGGTTGCATGGATATAAATATGTCTTAAGATTATAAAAGGAGCAATTCTAATTTTTCTTTGAAAATTTTTTCATAGGCCACTATAGGGACCAAAACAGTTAAACAATGGAGACATAAGATTAGTACTGAGAGATGCAAAAATGTGATCTATACATGTGCCTAACTACCAGTGACCAACAGGGTGTGGCACTGTTACACAAAAAGCAAACTGGAGTAGGACAATGTAGGGCAAAAGTTGCCTAGTTACTGTTATGGATCGTCTCAGGCATTCGCAGTCAATGCATTTCTATGACGTAGTCACTCACCCAGACCACGGACCTGAAAACTTTTGGCTACATAAATAAATTGACCTCAGAGGGATTAGGCAAGGGCACAAGATTATCCATGGTGGTAAATATAAGTCAGTGTGACCTTTTGTAGCTCAATTATTTTTCTTAACACTCACTGGCAGCTTTATGCTTCTGCTTTCACAAAATAAGCACAATAACTCTTATTTTAACTGGGCTACTGATTGTATAAGCACTCTGCTGTTATCTGGGTTATTTAACATTTTATTTACCAGGTGATACTGTTTAAGTCTGACTTGTCTGGGGGCAAAATTCTAGGGAAGGGGGACTACCATGAAAAAGACAAAATTGCTCAAGATGTCACACCACACTGCACTTAATGCCAACATCTTTGCATGGAGCAGTGAAAATAAGTAAGCCTGTTAATTGATTATCTCCTTTAGTATGGTCAAGTAAAGCTAGACTACAAGTAGTCCCCCATTTTTCCCCAGGGATAGTAGAGCGAGCGAAACGCGGAAAAAATTTTCTCTCCCCCCGCTGCATGTCGCCTTTTCTCACATGGGGTGATTTTCAGGTGCACTAGCATTTCACTCACTCTACTATCCCTAAGGAAAAATGGGGGACTAGTCGTAGTCAAAAGTAAAGCCTGAGCCAAACACAAATTGGTCTCGCCTGTGTACAGATATCCTCCTTCCCTCTTTCTGAGTGGAGGGGGACGTCTGCACACACACCAAAGTTGGGTCTCCTTTGACGTTTATTTCTACTTTTTCAATGGCCATCTATCTGTCCCTTTCATATCAAGGTTCTGCCCCAAACCTATGAAATCCAGGGTGTCCAGCATAGTATTTTTATGAAAAAAAGTAAGATTACCTAGTTGCCCAAGAGCAGAAGTTACCGGGGGCTACTGGGTACCGCTAGGGCTTAGCCCCCGGCCTGCATATAAATGGAAGTCCCCCCAGGGCACAAATCCTTAAGTTTGGGCATTTGAATGAAAGTTACTGAGCATAATATCTTATTAATCAATTGGCCTATACTACAATCAAGAATTCTTTTTTTTTTCTTTCTTTTTCGGCTGAGCACAAAAAGTTGGCAGACAGGCGAAGGGAAAAAAAGAGAAAAAGAGAAGGACTGCAATTATTGCAGGTTATTGGTAATTTTGCTGTGCAAAGTGGTTCCTTAGAACATTTGACTATTCAAATGAAAGCTACTGAGTAGTACTTTCCTGTGGTACTGTATATTATGTTGTACAATGTGGTTCTGAACTTTGAGTCTGTGGATGAAATCTTTAAGTGTGACCATTCAAATGAAAGCTGCTGAGCGGTACTTTCCTGTAGTACTGTTAACTATGCAGTACAATGTGGTTCTGAGTATTGAGTCCGTGGGTGAAATCTTTAAATCTGACCATTCAAATGAAAGCTACTAAGCAGTACTTTCCTGTAGTACTGTTTATTACGCTGTACATACAATGTGGTTCTGACTTGTGAGTCTGAAGATGAAATGTGACCATTCAAATAAAAGCTACTGAGCACTGAGCAGTACTTTCCTGTGGTGCTGTTTATTATGTGGTACAAGGTGGTTTGCACTTTTCAATCTGCAGATGAAATCCTAAAGAGGGATAATTGCTGAGCAATACCTTCCTGAGAAGCTGTAAAATGTGTTCCTAACTTTTCCGGCGGATATGAGTTTACTTGCAATCAACTCCCAATGACTCAAACCTTTGCTATAAACTCAACCTTACGGTAACTAGAACCAAAATCGATTTCCCCTGGTTGATTTCCTCCATACATTTATGGTAATTTCACCCTCGGTTACTCAAACCTCCTGCTAACTCAAAGTAATTTTTGTTTCGCTTCAGACTATTTCATATAATTTTACACTGGATAACTCAAACCACGTTTTAAACGTATGCTGGAGTAAAAAAAAATTGTACTGCAGTCGGAAACATTGAATTTATTTCAAAACAAACCATATCTTCTTTGTATTCCTATTTCAAAATATCAATATCTCGAAGTGATCATGAAGTGTACATGATCCATTGTACATTCCTTCCTCATACCATTTCCTTATTTCTGGTTATTAGCTTGGATCGAACTACCAATAACTCAAATTTTTTTCAATTTCCCTAGAGGGTTAGTGTTATCCGGAGTCGACTGTACATTGTATGTGTAAACAAGGTACAGCCAAGGAAAGCAATGCTTATTTACTGTGTCATGTAATCCAAGGATTCAAAATTTTATATATATATATATAAAAAACAAATTATATATATATAAAAAACAAATTTACTGCACAAAGAGCAAACCTTTGCAGGCTCAAAAGGGAAGAAAAAATTAACTTAGTAAAAAGTTTTGAAGAAATTTTAATGGTAGCCCTAGAAATCATCACTTTCACATCGGAAGTTTTTAGATACCCCTTTGAAAGTAGTATCTTATCTAATTAATTCAAGAAGGTTTTAGAATTGCCATTTGACAAACAAGAAGAAACAAGTTCAAACCGGAAGTCATTTTTACAGTGCAAACCAAAAATGATACGTGTTAACAAAAATATTTTTCACAGTACTGTAAGGTTAGTAGCTTAACGAAGTTGTACACCTGATAAGTAACGTCATAATTTAGCGAACATCTGAAAACTCTTCATTAATTAAACCAAAATAGTCTTCTATACGTATAAGCTTGTTGCGGTATTCTCTACCCGATTTGAATCCTGTATAATTTTACTGTAATATACAGAATAAAATACGTCCTATCTGGTAGTATAACCATCACGGAAATTATGAGATTTTAAGTTTCATTTCTTGAAAGTCAAATTAAAAACTGACAGCTAATACCTCTAAAAAAATCACACTTTTACCGTATAATAAGAGGAAGTCTTGTCATACTCACACTCTCTTCAGAGACAATCATTCGCCTTTTCTTTCCTTTAAATTTCCCCTTCTTACTACATTTAAAAAGAAGCGAAAAACAAATGAAAGGGGGATTAGTTTGCAAGCTATAAAAAAGCGTTAAAAATATAATTTTTAAAAAAAATAATATTTACAATAAAAAAGTTTCGAATGCTATTGCTTTCGTGAATTCATTAAGCCAAAATATTATTGACACGAACAAATTAAGCTTAATTTCGAAAGAAGATGGTAAAAAATTTCACCTATGCGATCGACCAGAATGTTGATCGTAATTTCACTTTCCGAAATTCATATTTCGCTATATTAAGATAACATATGACTGCTAGATAACTGCTATAAACAAACTTCAGTGCGGAGTGAAACAAACATGTCTGATCGTGTAGAAGTGAATCTGCTCTCACCTTACTACCAGCCGTTGTCGAAAAGCCCTCAATAATCTAGGATCAAGCACATTTTCTTCCGGCTCCCAAGTATTGTATCTAATTGGATATTATCGGTAAATCCAGCAATAAATATAGGGACATCTAAAACATTTATTGGTAAATTATGCACGTGAAATTCACGATGCTTACTTTTGCGAGTAACCCTTCCATTTGATGAAATATTCAATTTTGCCCTGCAAAACAAACCATCGACCGCTGGATTAATAAAGATTTTTCCACCACAATATGAGGCAAATTTACTCCTTCCTTACCTCTCTGACTCTGCGCTTAAGAATCGTTTCGGCCGCATAGATTCCGTTGTTTCTTCCTCCGCGATTCATGACTCATTGTCCAGTTTGAGAGATTGTGTTTGTATTCATAGCAATTTGCATCTTCGCATCCCATAATGTATTTATCTTCGTGACGACACGTGCTACTCGATCCTCGATAAATCGTCATATGACAAACCGGAAAATTCTTTATGCCATATTGGAGCTAAAACCAACCCTGAGGCCCGATGTGAGAGGAGCCACGATATAACAGAGCGAAGTTGTCGCTTTCCTCGCTCAACGAACAGTTTCCTTTACCCCAATAACAATAAAATATATGGAAAAGTCCCTTGGCCCTTCGTTATAATCTCAGCTGTAATTTTGGTTTGACGGTGAAGTGAGGTTCCTGTAATTTTAACCGATGTCACTCGTTTTCCCGCTCGCAGAACTTCAGTATTGCCACGGTATCAAAGTTAATTTTTCGTTTTTTGTTTTTTTTGGAAAAGAAAAAATTAAAAACTGAAATAACTGAAAAAACATGAACTAAGAACAAAACCATGTGAGGTGTTTGCGAGGTAAGTTTTGTAACCATCAAAAAAGGTTTTGTCGTGATCGTAAGAACATATGTAAGTAACAACCCGTAGTGAAAAAAAAAAGAGATGCCACGAGAAAAAAAATGTCGTGATATCCATTGTCAACCGTAATCCCTAATTGATATTTTGCTGAAATTATCATTTCATATTCCACTACCTCAGTAAAATATTACTTTAGCTGCAGACTACCGGAGGAAACAAATTAAAGGTATGCATTCGAGAAAAGTACGCCCAAGTTCAACCCAGTTTTCTATACAGGAGCATAAACTAAAAGCGACTAGGAATGTCTCTATTCCTGTAGAGAGGGAAGCAAGCACATTGCAGTGTTGTCCCCAAGCACTGAATTCTCTAGTGTCCATTTATACGCATGGGTGGAGTGAGCTACCGTGTAAAAAAAGTGTCTTACTCAAGTCTTACCAGGAGCCGATTACACAAAAAACATAACACAATGACCCGCGACACAAGGATAACACTGACCAGAGAGACAACACTCGGCACTCGAGTTAATTTTATTGCTTAATTTTAATATAGCGCAAGAGAGGAACGTGCAAAGAGAAAAGAAGACCCCCTCCTCCTTTTCTCCCCTCGTGCGCGCGCGCATCCTTGAAATTGCTCCTTTTGCCCCTGCTACGTAGGCTATGACGTACAAGGACAACTCCTGTGGACAGGGCTGGAATCCGTAACTCTTGAGTCCAAAACATAGCCCACTGGGCCACCACGCCCAGTCCATATCAAGCTGGTTTGAGAATTCACCATTTTCACATAGACCATAATGCACCTAGTTTCGGTGAAACCGCTGGATAATATTGCGCGCACAGCATAAACACCTAGTAACCAGCCCAGATCCTTCCTCGGTCAAAGGGGCTAACTTCCGGTTTAAATGCAAAACTTTGCAACCTTCTGGAGCATTTACTCTTCTCTGTATTCAGAAAAAAACTTTTTTTTTGAATATTAGATGACATAAACTACAATTGGGCTTAAAATAAATAAGATCTGAAAACATGAAAATTTGCCTGGGCGGGTACCTTAAAGCAACTTTTAAGGTTACAATGGAACCTTTCCCTAGGGACGCCTTCTTAACGCAGACTAGTTGAGAGGATGAGTTTCCTTTGATTTCAAATATGCCAAACTTTATACCATTCCTACTTCAACATGAAAACAAAGCTCTGTCCGTTTGGTGTTCGTATCAAGCTGGTTTGATTTACTGTCGTCGATCATCACTCTCCAACGTTCTTCTTCCAGGTATCATGACGACAGTAGCAAAATTCCCTCAAATGGGGATGTGAGTTTTTTATGCAGTCCGGTTGTGATCCATAAAGATTTATGCGACTGATGTGCCCGCTCACTTCAAAACGACCCCCAATAAGCTTAACAGACGCCTCAAAAACTGCAAAACCCGGTATGGTTCGAAACTTAACCTGGTAGATACATTCAGTTGGTTTTGTTGCGTTCTTAAACTCCGGTTTTCCGAGACCTAAGCCATCACCATCTTGTATTCCACTGAATGTTTGCACTTTAGAACTTGGTACTTCTTGCCAGGCGCCTAAAATAACGTCTAGTGTTAATCGTTCACATAGCCTGCTCACTTTAGGGTCTTTCTTGAGCAAGCTGTTAATGTGATCAGAGGCAATCTGGGCGCCAATACGAACATGCGCATGGGTCGTGTTTAGAGGCAACCACTGAACACATGGGCAAAAGTACTCTGGTATCTTAGCGTCTTGACATGTTCGATTTCGAGGAAGTTTTGAGAAAAGACTTATTCCACGGGTGAGTTCTGTCTGTGAAGGATCAAAACGATACTTGAGTAAATGCATAAAAGTTGCATGTAAATCCAACGGTGATATGATAATATCTGTATTTGATTTGAAGTTCTTTGCCAGTTTTGAGTGTTTCAAGAGGAAGTTATCTGGCAGCGCAATGGATAGCAATGGTAACCGCTCCTCCAGCTTTCCCTGCATGGTCGATCGGAACTCCCCTGTGCGAGCGCCGTGGTCTCCCATGACAACGAGCATGGTGTCATTCAAAAATCCCAAGTCCCGCATCGATTTAAAGAACTCGTAAAAGTCTTTCTCTGCAGCACCAAGTGGTAATATTGTGTTATGATGGCAGAGGCTACTCAGAAAAATAAAACCAAATTTAGGTGTCTTGGGATAAGCTCTAAACATGCTCTTCAGATATTCAAGCTGAATTTTGTGTTGAGGTTGAGCATTGATGCATTTCTCATGAAGTACTCCCTCGTTTAGTTTGTGTGGCACCGCTGACCAAAACGATCGCGCATAATGATCACAAGGTGGCTTACTAAAGCCTTTGAGTCTCATATTGAAAGCACCTGAAAGCAAAAAATATAATTTTAACTTACATTAAAATAGCTGTCGAAATAACTATCAATTGGAACCATCTTGCAAAGTCGCGTCACCTAAATTCGGCCTAATATACTAACCCAAACAAACAGCTCGTTCTTCCAGATCAGAGGAGCTACATGGACTCCTGCGCGGGTGAGATTTGGAAGTAAATAGTTCCCGATAGCTTGGAGGGGAAATAAATACCTACTAACAGTAATTGCTCGCTATAGGAAAGACACACAGGGCACCCAAAGACTGCTTACTAACACTGCAAAGAAAATAAAAGAGATCAGTGCACTGCAGGAAAGAAGTCGATGTGACTAGTTTACCTATAGGTGGAGCATCTTCACTAAACATAGTAGCGTAACCGTACTCCTCTAACGTCTTGAAAATAAACGGCCATGGATCCACAGTTCCGGCGCCCTTGAAGCCAGTCCTCGCCTCGTGAATTTTACAATTCTCCTCCAGACTCCGTCCGGTCAAGAGCGCTGTCAGCTGAGGCGTGGTCCCCTCACCTACTAAAGAGAACCCACTGAACATGAATGCCTGTAGCTCGTTCTGCAGAAACTTGTACGAGCTGTGAAGGAGACGCTGAAAAGTTGCGTGTGAGGTTTGGTCCAATCCTAAAATGACAATATTTAATGGTATACCAGCCCTTTGTTGCGGTACTCGCCGCAGCACGTGACTTTTGGGGACAACCTGTGCGTGAAAATCAGTTTGTTTCACTCCATTGAAGAACTCGGCGTTCACTTGAATGAAATCGTGGTTTAATTTCAACACTGGTGCTTTATACTTCAATGGTCTGCGATTTCCTAAGCGGAATCCAGAATCGGAGCCACCCGTTTGCCTATGTATCGTTTGAAAGGACAGATTTGTAACAGGCGCACCTCTGTCATGATAAACCACGACTTTGAGAAGACCATCACGGTAGCTGGTAAATAGCGTTGCGTCGCGTTCACACGCAATCGGTACTATAGGTAGAAAATACCTCATGGAACTTGTGTCAAAAGGATCTATATTCGGAAGACGACAGCTCACTTCTCCAGACGAAATGGGTCTTTGTACTTTCGTTGGTGACGTTCCGCACTTCAGATTATTGACATAGAATTCTAGAAAACACAGGCCATAAATTAGAGTTGCCAGTTTACAAACAGTTAACACTCTGCAGGGCTAAGGCCAGAGTTCTAAGCTATTGTATGTTACTTCGGCACTGACCTCTTTGTTTCTGTGCCACAATAAAGTTCATTTGTGTCCTTTTAAACTAAAATTGGGTATAACATCTTGCTTGTTATGAAAATTTTTTCTTCTGAGCCAAGAAAATCTTGGAAGTTATTATTTAACTCTGATAGCTTACAGAATGAACGCAATTCCTAGCCCCCAAAAAACTGAAATTTATATAGTTTTAATTTCGTTTCCCAAATTGCGCAAAATTGCAATTTCTGTAGAGCGTGACTTGGTCCACCCATACTTACCAAGACTGGTAAGAAAATCCTTTTTGACAAGTATTGTAGAGTTGTCATCTGCAAAAAGGATAAACTCGGATCCTAAAGTAAAGTAGTTTGTATCGTCCTTTGGTTTAAAGATTGCTTGGCACTTTTCTTCTGCAAGCTGATGGCAGGCCATCATAGCTTCTTTCTCGGATGGAAAGGCTTGTGTCGATACAGGAGCTTCAAAATCATGCTTGTCAACAGCTTTGAAATTATCCAGCTAGGGCAAAAAATACAGAGTTGATTTAGGAACTAATAATGACTAACTTATGATATTGTTCTAAGCCTTTCCATAAAAAAACTCTCGTTAAACTCAAGAACGTCAGTTATCGAGCGTAATGCCAGTGGTTATAGCATTACTGTAAAATAGCCGCTTGCAAGAAAATAGGCGGAAGTACAGGCTTCTTTCGTAGCATGATCATGAGTGGCAAGTGTTTGCGACGTGGGCTCGTGGAAGGAGGGAGGAGTTTAACTTTCTCCCCACTAACTAGCGCGCAATTCGCGTTCTCGCCCGCCCAAATACCTTCTGCCACGCAGCCTAACACCTCTTTCCCGAACCATTTTCTTAAATTAAGTATGACCATTATAGCCATTAAGTATTTTTTTAATCCCTGATCTAACCTAGGACTGAGCAAACTTTCGACGCATGGGATGAAGACTGAAGAGCGAAGAGAGTCCCTCCTCTTCACTTCCAGTCCCCCCTTTAAATCGCCCTTTCAAAGACTTACCAAGTCTCTTAGTAACTCATCTTAACTCCTTTCTATCTCAGAGATGGGGCGATAGTTTACTCTGTATACCAGTAGCATAGTATTTGTATACGCGGTATTCATTGCTTTCTACATGTGAAGTTCGTCCTCGAGACACATGCACATAACCTTATTTTGGTTAATGTTAATTTGATTTTACCGGGTTAGAAAGCACTTATACTGAATGGTTACCAACCTTTTTAACTGTCTACCCACTTAAATTAGCGGCAGATATCACTTACTTTGATATACTCTTGAGGCGCAAAGGTTCTGTGCAAGTCATCTTCGTCTGCCAGTGGCGTTAGGGTATGTACCTACAGAGAAGTGTACGTGTAGACAGTTATTTCTCCTTGACAAAGCGACTACCCGTGATTATCCTCTCTCCCTTCAAATCTAGCTTTTGCGTTGATGGGCATACCTATATCAGCTTTGATATCCTTAGGACACCATTTAGATACCATCTAACCTCATGCCATGATAATAAATAAATGTAGCCAACCAAATTTCTGCACTCTCATGCTAGGGTCTTTTTCTTCTTCGAGTAAGGAAAAGAGAGGACCCTGGTCATGAGGTTGCAATAATTTGCAGGTAATTTTTGTAGAGTACCTTTCATTTCCAAGCAACTGTAAAATAGTTCAGAGAACTTGCTTTCAAGCTCAAAAATATTCAATTTAGATTTTCAAGCCATTCTGTTAAGTTACTTAAAGTAAGTCTTGGAAGATCATATCTGTGGAAACGATTATAGGCGTCCGCTACCTTCGGCCTCTATCCTCTGATTCTTGGTTCAATTTTAAGAAAGAGTGCATGTTACACGCCGGGAACTTAATCTTTAATTAAAGAAAGCATGGTCGATTTACACCGGTTTCCACCGTTTTTCGGAAATCGGTCAGATTTTTCACAATAAAATATTTTAAATTAACAATTAAACTTTCCAAGTTGAAATCTTTCTCCATATCCACTATGGTATGGAAATTGATCTTTATGAAATAACCGGCCGATTTGAAAGGCTTTATCCGCGAGGAGAATGGAACTGGCCAATATCCTGTTTGAATGACTCAGAAACCCAAGAAAGGGGATTTGAGTGTCTGAAGGGGAGTTCCTCGATGACAATCAAACACTTCCTTTTTTTGGCTGTGAACATGAAACAGTTAAACTTTAGGCATTTTAACACTAACAGTAAAAAATTCTGTGAAACAGTTAATTTTTTCCTGAAAGGAGCAAAAACGGCTCCAAAAAGGCCAATTATATTTTGTTTAGTATAGCAAGGAGTTTCGGCCATTTTGAGACAATTCCGGATTATTTCATCAGAAAGATTTCCAAAGGCTACCGACGATTCCCGAAGACTGTCGAAGATTTCCGAAGACTAACGAAGATGTCCGAAGAAGCTTTCGCCCTTGCGTTCGTTTAGGAAATCGAGTCAGTATTTTTTGTGCCTGGGTCACACTTGGAACGTCATCCACAAACTAAACAGCTATAGCCATCATCAGTTGACTCCTGATAATTCCAACCCTCAAGGGAAATAGAAAAAAGTTCGACTTCTCGGGAGTTCGAGTTATCGAGGGTAAAATGATATAGAAAACGATCTGAAGGGAAATGCAAATCGCTTCGAGTTAGCGGGAGGTTCGAGTTATAGAGGGTTCGAGTTACCGGGATTCGATGGTGCGAGGTAGAATCTTCTTACCTGTTTTGTCGGCCATTCAGAACTGGCCTTAGGTTGCTTAATTCTGTTGTTGTCAGTGGAAATTTTATTTTCCCTAAATGAAGTATGATACACAGGTATTACTGGTGACTTATCCTCTTGTTTCCATCGGTCTGTACTAAGCTGTCCTCGAGAGGTAGACTGCTGACCAGATTCGGTTGTTAGTTTGGAATGCCAGAGATTTATTAAATACGAGTGGTTGTCCTTTTCTAGCTTTATCGTTGACTTTGCTTCCAGTTTCTTTTCTTTCTCTTTTTCTATCTGGTCGCTAACTTTCCACATGCAAAGTAGATTGATTAAGACCATCATTGCTGCTGAAAGAATGAGAAATTTGCGGACCAACTGCGAAGAGAAACACTTCATGGTGGTTTGGGCATCAGCTACGTCGATTCAATGCTTCGTTGCTTCAAACTTGAATCAGAATATACCATTTGTTTGACGGTAATGGCAAAAAAAACCACCGACATAAACGCTGTGGTCAGTTTAGTTCGCTGTGGTATATATTTTCATATGTATTGGTCATTTTCGGTGTTTCAGCATTCTTATCTTGACGATGTGCGACAAAAAGTCGTAAAGGATTTACCACACCGAATCAGTGAAAACTCACTGCATAACTTTCTATTGATGAAATCAAAGCTAGTTATTCCGTCACCAACACATCCCACATGAAGTCGTCGCCAAAGTCGCACACTTGCGTACTCAAGAACTAACTAATAAATTAAAACGCAAGCACTCAAAAGTCAGACCACAGTTACTGTCCTCGCTTATACAATACGTACGTGTAGAGCGTGTTAAAAAAATCACTTGAATTCTCAGACCAACGATCGATGCACTTCAGTGCTATTTTATAAAAGCCACGTCTCTACTAGAAGAACTTTAGCCATCCACCTCTTGTTAACACGTATTCAGCACGGAACAATGAAATTATTAAGGTAAAATATTTATGCTTGAGCAAAGCTGAATAAACAAAGTTGGCGAGTAATGCATGCGTTCTGTGTGATTATATTATAAAGCTATACATACGACATTTGAACATCTCTCCTTATTTTTGTATCAGTTAGTTTTCAACTTCCCTTATCACTCATCTTTGCATGGTCTGTTTTTGTTGTCAGCGGTTGTTGTTGTTGTTGTTATTATTAGTACTATTAACCTATAATTCTGAAGGAACAATCACAAAAAAGGTCTTCGGGTTTCAAGATCTTTTGATAATTGTCAAAAGCTTAGGTGGTTTAAAATTGACCCTCCGCGATCAAATGTTTAATCTCAAAGGTTATTGGATGGAAGAGCAGCACCCGAATCCCTTATTTAGAAGATGAGGACTCACTTCGGTTCGAGCATAAGTATTCCACAAGATCAAAAACATTACACCGCTGCCTAAAACTGATGTAATGAAGAATTGAAACTGCTCGTAATCTAGCAGCCATTTTTCGCACAATAAAACTACCTGAAAACTCCTGAAAACTACCTACGCTGAATTTAAAGACGCCGCCTCAGACTAGACTGCGGAGTCACTGAGAAGTTGTTTTGGTTATGAAAATTTCCGTGAACTGATTTGTTTGTATATAAAAATTGTAAGCAAATTTTCTTTATACTAATTCAACAGAATTTTTCAATGCTTTTAATAGTTAGTATCCAATATTTATTTTTACATATTTTTTAAGCTTTTCTTATCTTGATTTGTTGCAAACCTTTGGTGTTTTAATGCAGTATGCCATTTGTATGATGGCGTCCATTTCGTTTTTCCGTTCATATTAATTTAAATTTGATAATCCTAGAGAGCTTTAAATAACAGTGAAACCTGTATTAAGCGGACACCGTATTAGGCGGACACCCTCTATTAAGCGGACAGTGGTCGAAGTCCCCAAATCTATTTCCCTTATTTACTTTAAATGAAACCTTTAATAAGCGGACACCTCTATTAAGCGGACGCGGACACCTAAAAAGTACCTGAAATGGTTATTTCCAATGTTGCCAACCTGTATTAAACGGACAACCTGTATTAAACCGACACTTGTAATTAAATTCCACCACCCAACATGCCAGACACTGGAAATGCTAAAGATTGCCTCGAATTGTCACCCACAAATTTTTCGATGTTTACATTAAAAAACGTGACTTGACGAACTTATTTGATTAGTTTCCCAGTACAGTGTTGTTTTCTATTTCGTTTTGTTTGTATAGAGC